AGGAACATTGCTGAATTCCAAGTCTCTGTCGGTAAAAGAAGTGGGTAGGAAATAAAAGGCTTTAGTTACTTATAATTCAGAACAAATGCTGACTATTCATAAATTTGCTTGCTCAGGTCTCTAGTGAAATGTGGTGTGGAAATGAGGGAAACTGCTCGATGCTACATTTAAATCTTGAATGCGTTTTCTCTCCAGGAGGCCGAGTGTTGCAGATTCCACGGGCACAGGCTGAAGACGCTGGGAGATACATGTGTGTGGCAGTCAACGAAGCTGGGGAGGATTCCATTCATTATGATGTCCGCGTGCTCTGTGAGCTTTCCTGCTTTCCTTTTTTATTTTGAATGACAGAAAAAAGTCCTGTGGAAACGAATGAAGGGTTATAGTCCAGGTTTACTTAATGTCTTTAACATTTATAAATTCTGTGTATTTGTGAACTGTGAAATCCATATGTTTATACAAGGTGCTGGAGTTTTGTGGAAATACACAGAATTGGATGAAGATAATGTTAATGCCGTTAGTTCGGTATGTTTTTAGGTTATTGTCATATGAACTCAGTTGTGCTAACACTGTCATGCTTGACCAGAAGGAAAAGTATATGCAGAAATCTAGTTTTATTTTGGTAGCTCTTGTGCCCTATTTGATTTCCAGTTCAGAATTCTGACCTAGTAGACTTTTCTCTCTCCTTATTTTGGTTGTAATTTTCTCAAATACCTCCAAAACTCCTAAAAGCTTAAGGCAGTTGATGTAGATCAGCCATTGAGTGTCTGTAGAGTTCAGTTCCCATGATCTGTTTACAGACATTGCACAGAAAGCTTTTGTATGCTGCTTGCATTGCGTGTGCACGTACTCAAGGTTTTTGCCTTGGGAAATGCTTATTTCTGTATGTACCACTGAAAATGCTCATTTATTGTTAGGAAAGGGCCCTGCATTGGAAATCCTCTTTTGTTCTGACAGCAAAGAGCACAAGGTACTAACTGGGAAATGAGTTTTCACCTTTTTCTCTTCTTTATGGCTGCTGTGAATAAGTGTAGTTCTTCTTTGAGCTGTACTGACTTGTTCCAGCTGAACTGCTCCTGGGATTTTATTACCTTTCACTGTATTCACTGAAGATTTCACTGCTTTCACCAAAAAACCTGATCTAAAAGATTAGTCTGCAGTCTTAAACTCAACAGAGAACAGTGAGAAATATGAAGTCACGGTATTCTTTTCACCTTTTGCTCTTCCGTAGTGCCCCCAGCCATCAGTGGAGCTGATGGTGATCGCCCTGAAGAGGTGACGGTGCTTGTGAACAAGGCTGCAGCGATGGACTGCATTGCAAGTGGAAGCCCTTCGCCAAGTATTACCTGGCAGAAGGATGGCCACCTGCTAGCAGAAGATGACAAACACACCTTTTTGTCCAGTGGAAGGAGGTTACAGGTAGAAAAAAATATTTCTAACGTCTCAAACACGAGTTCTGATAATGACAAAACTGTTTAGATTTGTCAAGGATGTGATTCTGAATTTTACTTTTTTCTGCAACGTGCAGACCTAAGGAGTTTTTGTCCACTGTTTCTGTCCCTTAGCTGCTGTTTCTCAGCCTGGTGTAGTTCGCTCAGTTGTGCTGGTCCAAATGGTTTGTGGCATCATGCTGTGAACTGCATCAGTGAAATCACTTGGTCTAAAATATCATTGATTCTTGTGGAGAACAACCTGAGGCTGTTAATTTTATTTGAGTTTCCCTAACTGATTATTGCACTACTCTTTATTTATTTATTTATTATTTAAGAAAATAATGTATTCTGAAGAACTCCCCCTTCCTATCAATGAATGAGATTGGATGAAACTATTAAAGCAGTTGGAGAGCTGATCTTAATTCTCTCCACTTGATCCTTTGACAGTAAGCTCTGGTATATTAGCTCAACAACCATCTTTTTTTTTTTTTCCCCTTAGATTTTGAATTCCCAAATAACGGATACCGGCAGGTATGTCTGCATTGTGGAAAACATAGCGGGCAGCGCCAAGAAGTATTTTAACTTAAACGTTCATGGTAAGTACAATAATAATCTTTAATTTTCTGATTATCTTCTTTCAAATGTTAGTTTAGCTTGAATGTGTTAGTTCTAGCAGAGTGCTTTGGCATGTACTTAGCTTTTTGAATATAAGTCAGCTTCTTGGGTGTGATAGAGATACTGACAGACCAGAAATCCAATGTAATTTTCAAGTACCCTGGCAGCACGTGGCTTTTGATACCTTATGGCTCGGGCTCCTCAGAGGTGTTCCCCATAGGTGGAAATTATTGTTATGTAATGGCTGTGTGTGTGCGCTTTGTAGGGAAGTTGCTAAGCCCTAAATGGTGAATTACAAAAGGGGTTTGGTTATAGTCTGTTTCGATATGTTCGTAAAATGCATTTTCCAAGAAAAGTGGTGGTTGGAAGCAGGAAACAAAGAGATACAGCAATATAAAAGCTTACTTCTAAAAAAGGTGCCCTTTATGATTCCTTTCTGTTCTCTATTTTTTGCTGTGGAGTTAGAATAGGGTTAAAATAAATTTGGGCCTTCAATGTAACAAGTCTAAACCAAATGCAATCAAGAAATCAAGATGTTTTCCATTATTTTAAAAACAACCTCTCCTTTACCTTCCCTTACCTCTCCTGATAGCTTCAGAAAGTCAGGTTATCTCTAATCAACATTTCAGAGTAAATCCTAATTTTCCATTTCATTTCTGCCCACCAGTATTGGCTTTCCATTCTGAATTGGAGATGAAATAAACGTTATTCACACAAATTCCTTGCACTATTACATTTTTAAACCTGCCAAGGAATACTGGCAGCTACGTCTTTATCTGCTTTCTCTGTACAATTTAGAGACAGTCCTTCTACATGTGTTCAGTATTTATTTTTCACATCCTTGTTAGTTAGCTAAGCTTTACTGTCTTCTCTTAAATATGGTATCAGCATCCCAGGAATCTGATGATTCAGGTTGTTACATCCAGAGGAATTATTTTTTTTTTCTCATTCACACATGCAGCAAATTTACATACTAAATAAAATGAATTTATGGTTCTTTTTTTTTACTTGGTAATACAGTTAGCCAAAAATAGTGTTGTCATGGGAAGAATTTGCCCTGGAGTTATTCTCTGCGAGTTATTTTATTTCGGTGGAGTCTATCCAGATTTCCAGATTGTTTTTAAACTAAAATATTTTGCTTTTCTTGATGTTCACGTTTTAATTTAAACTTTTTGTCTTTCAAATATTTGCCTTTTAATGGCAATAGTCTAATACTATGATTTTAAAAGAAAAATTTGAATGAAGGTTTGTAGCTCAACAGTATTACCAGTTTAGGTCTATTAGTCTTTATGAATGAAGTTTCATTTGAAAAACTAGACTATAGCTGTTCAGGAAAGGACCACACAGGAGGCACTGATGAAAGTGGATTATCACTAAGCAGCATGATCTTTCTTTTGTCAGTGTCAAAAAAAAGATAGTTTTCCAACATTTTTGTATGTTTTTAATGGAACCACTTTCATAAATTTCATTTCATTTAATGAAATTTTCAATTTCATTAAAGATGATGCTCTTTAAGAAGTTAAAAAATTCACTTTTTTTTCCCTCAAAGATGAGTAATAAAACTGCAATAAAACCTTCTAAAACATTGGAAATAAGCATCCAGTTCTAAAACCTCAACCTCTCACCTTAGTATGTAATACATAGATGATTTTCACCCTGAATACTAAAAATGTGCCCATTACTGCATCTCTATGCACATGCAAGTGTATTTGCATATGCAGATTACCTGTGTGTTTTGCACATGTGTTGAGGGCTGCAGAATATGAAATCTAGTACTTACATGGTTTGAGCAAAATTCGTTGCAAGATAGCTCGGATTCTGCCTGGTATTTTGAATTGCCCACTGTCTCACACTGCTGATAAGCACAACTGTGGGAAAGTAACTGTAAAAGTAAATAAATATAAGTAACTATAAAATGTCATCAGATCAGAATTCTCCATTTGCTCTAGTGAAATGTTTTATGCTCCCTATTGGGAAAATAACCCTCAGTAATTCCAAGTTGCAAAAATATGGACTGAATTCACCCATTTACATTGACTCCTCTTGTTTCTGCAGCACCACAGAGGAGCAATAAACTTGGCTTAATGACTGTTTTGTGTCATTCAAGTGACAGAAAGCCGCTGGAGTATTTCTGGTGGATATGGTCCAAAATACTTTTAACATTTCTGTCTTTGAAGAAGAGGATTCTGTGTATTCCTTGGAATGATTTTCCCGCCCAACAGAGCCAAGAACATGCTTTTGCTTTCCTCCTAAGCGTTCTAAATATCTGCACTGCAAAAACATGGAACCCCAAACTTGGGGTTTGTTAAAAGGAAGAGATTTACAGTTATTTAATTTTAAATAGTTCTTGTGGAGAGGTTGAATGTCAAAATATTCTTGTACTTAAAAATACTGGGACTTGCAAGCTTAAAAAATCTTGCATGCCAGAATTTTAAACTTCTTAGCTCACTATTAAACAATACGTTTGTCTGGTTAACAAAGAAACTCTGAACTGTATCAGAAGGAATAATTTTAGCTCTCTATAATGAGAAAATGAACTATTTCAGAAAGAACAGAGCAAGACAATGTCAGAAAGAAATGCTACTTAGTCATCTGATGTATCCTGGCAAGATAAATTTAATCTGTCCTGCCTTACATAGCAAATGTCCTCTGAGTGCAGCATTTTATAATTGATAGAGCAAGAGTTGGAAGCTGCAGGATCTCTTGCAGGTTAATTAGCCTTCCAAAATCTCAAGCACAGAAGGACTGCAAATGAAATCGTTGAAATTTTTGTGAATTGCAGGAACAGGAATGACCATTAGATTGGCTTCAGTCATACCTCCAGATGCATCCAAGAAGCAGCACATCCATTCATAGGACATGAAAGATGTTTGCAGCTTGTCCCTTTGGCAAAACTCAGCAATTCAGCTTTATGTCAGTAAATCAGGATCTTTTGGAATATTGCTTTCTACCACTGTGTTAAATACCGTTAATGTATTTCTCTCTGCAGTTCCTCCAAGTGTGATTGGTACTAATGCTGAGAATTTGACTGTAGTGGTGAATAATTTCATCTCTCTGACTTGTGAGGTCACTGGCTTTCCACCTCCTGATCTCAGCTGGCTCAAGAACGGAAAACCTATCAGTTCAAATACCAACACTTTTATTGTGCCTGGTGAGGAATCTCAGCTATTTCTACAGCCTTTGGACTCAACTTCTGTCTGTTTTGTCTTGATAAGGGTGATGGCCACTATTTATGGAGCCACTATATCCTTTGTATTGTTCCAGTGAGTAGACAAGATACTTGCACTACTGTGTTTAATTTCTTGGCTGTTGTGGGGGTTCACTTTTAAAACTAACTCAGACTGAAAGCACTGAAATAAGCTGTGTGGAAAAGACTAGAGGGCAAAATCTCGTAACAAAGGTGCTCTGATAGAGGCCTTGATTACATTTGACTAACCTTTCTAAGAAATTGTCAGAAATTATGTCAGACACTGAGATGAATTCTGATGGCTTAGATGACAAAAAATACAAACCTCCCCATTGACTTCAGTGCGAAACTGGTTTAAGTTTGATGAAGTCTCAGGAAGAAACTATATTCTGAGCTCTCTCCTTAACCATTCGAAGCTCCTCACTAAATAAGGTCAATGAGTGTCTGTGTCATTTCTGACACAGGGCAATAGAGAATGGGCCAGTGACAGAGCTCAGTGGAAAGAGCACAGTTATGTTAGAAGACAGCAGTTAACAGCTACAAAACAAACAGATCTAAGAGGAATATTTGTGGTCCAGACTTAAAATTAACAGTGCTGATGAAATTCACCCTATAATTTTAGTTCTCTAGGCTGGATCTTTTTTTAAGGATTAATGAACCTTAAAAATTAGGTTAATATAGTTCCTGAGCTCAGGCTGTTGGACCTACAATTTTAAAATAGCATTAGAGATTGATACAATAACCACACGATAAATCTCAAGCCTTCTCTCTCTACTTCAGGTGCTCGTACTCTGCAGATTCCCCGAGCCAAGCTACTAGATGGTGGTGAATATATTTGTATTGCCAGAAACCAAGCCGGGGAAAGTCAGAAGAGGAGTTTCCTGACTGTCCTTGGTTTGTATTCTTACTGTTTTCTGAAATCATATCTGTTACTTTGAAAATACTTAATTTTGTATTTGTTTTTATTAGCTTGTTTTGTTCTCTCTTGCGAAACGAAGGCCAAAATAACTCTGAGCTTCTTCTGCAGTGCCCCCAAGCATCAAAGACCATGGTGGAACCTCCCTGACAGCACTGAACGTGAGAGTGGGCGCCCCGGTGGTGTTGGAGTGTGAATCCAACGCTATCCCACCACCAGTCATCACCTGGTACAAGAACAGGCGCATCATTTCAGAGTCTGCGAATGTGGAGATCCTGGCAGATGGGCAGATGTTACGAATCAAGAGCGCAGAGGTAGGCCAGGCTTGTGGGATGCTGCATCTGCCACTGCTCTGTTGCTGTTAAGCAATTATTTTGTGCTTTACTGGAGTATTCTACTAGCTGTACCTAGGAGTTGTATTTGCTGGAGGCCTTTCATTCTGTGAAAAGGACCTTGAGTTGGCAGAGGCAAAGGCTGTTAATATCTCTAAACTGTAGTGGTAAAATAAGACTCCATAATAAGGTTTTTTTAAAATTTATTTTTATTTTAGGTTTCTGACACGGGCCAATATGTGTGCAAAGCCATAAATATTGCAGGGCGAGATGATAAAAATTTCCATCTTAATGTTTATGGTGAGCATACTCTGCATTATCTGCAGTAGGTATTATAATACCATAGACATTGTAGAGTAGATAATTCAAAATTGGTTTACAAAAATATTTGGTAACAAAACCATTTTTATTGCTTCCATTCAATTTATAGTGCCACCAAACATAGAAGGCCCTGAACAAGAGTTGGTCAATGAAACTATCAGTAATCCCATTACCTTCGTGTGTGATGCTACTGGAATTCCTCCACCAACATTAATGTGGCTTAAGAATGGAAAACCGATAGGTAACTTGCCTCATGCTCTTTTCTTCTCTTTTTTTTCCCCCTTTTAGGCACCTATCTGCTATTTACTGCCTAGTTTTTGTTTCTTCTTTTTCTGTCTTTAAACTGCCTCTTACGTTAACTGATGGGAATCTTTGTTGTGAAATTTTGATTAAAAAAAGCTCTCAAGATGCATTTGTTTTCTGTTGCCTGGTTTGGAATGACTCCCTGTTTACATATTTGCAGAAAACTCCGATTCTCTTGAAGTTCATGTTTTATCTGGTGGAAGCAAGCTTCAGATTGCTCGCTCTCAGCTTCCAGACAGTGGGACCTACACATGTGTTGCCTCAAACATAGAAGGAAAAGCTCAGAAAAGTTATGTGCTTTCTATCCAAGGTAAGGCATGAGGGTGCAGTGAGCAAAACTGGTTAATAATAGGTTGAATGTGACACTGTATCTGTACTGGGGACACTGAGATGACCTAAACATGTAGAGAAGTGGAGAATTTGGACAATTATTTCTATCATTTGCAACCAGTGGGAAAAATGGTTAAAGGATTATACTGCTAGTCAGAAGTTTGGATGAAAAAGAATAGAGAGAACTTGAAAGCCGCAGGGAAGGCTGTGCATGTGTGCTGTGGATCACATCCTTCCTCCTGCTCAACGCTGAAGTGACAGTGGTTGATGAGCAGGGAGAGCAGCACACACACATGGTTTCAGAAGCAGTCATACCTGTTGCCTTTCTAGCCATAGCAATTAGGAGGAGATAGCAAAGAAATACAAGCTGAATTTCCTTATTTTTTAACTTGCTCAAATGAAAAACCCTCATTTGTTATGGAGTTGTCTCCTGCCGTACTGCACACCAGCCCCACACCGCAGCTGTTTAATGAAATGGCATTTTGTTATAATGTTGTACATGTTAGAATCATAGAATCATTAAGGTTGGGAAAGACCTTTGAGATTATCAAGTCCAACTGTCAACCCAGCACCACCATGACCACTAAAACACGTCCCAAAGTGCCATGTCTACACCTTTTTTGAACACCTCCACGGCTGATGACGCCACCACTGCCCTTGGCAGCCTGTTCCAATGTTTCACTGCTCTGTTAGTAAGGAAATTATTCCTAATACCCAATGTAGACTTCCCCTGGCACAACTTGAGCCCATTTTCTCTTGTCATGTTGCTCCTTACTTGGGAGAAGATGCCAACTCCCACCTCACTACCACTTTCTTTCAGGCAGTGGTAGAGAGGAATAAGGTAGCATTACTTGAGCAGATAACCATAGATACTAAATATAATGGTGAAGATACACTGTTTTTATAATTTTGTAAATTAGCTGATGTAAGGAATGATTAAAATGGCTTTGAATTTAGCTTTGCAGAACTCCCTCTAGAAACAATATAATCATTTCTAAACTAGGTTTGAATGGAGGTACTGCCATAAATGCTAGTGCTCATGAGCTGCTGCAGTGTTACTAGTTTAATATGTTTCTTCCTGATGAATCTTCACTTCCCTCCATCATATGTTTCTAGTTCCTCCTGATATTGTTGGCTCTGAAATGCCCAGTGAGGTCAGCGTCCTCCTGGGAGAAAGCATCCAGCTGGTCTGCAATGCCAATGGAGTGCCCACACCTGTTGTGCAATGGCATAAAGATGGAAAAACAGTTGCCAGTGATGATTTGCAAAGAACAAGGCAAGGAAAAATAAGAAGGCGCTGCGTTCTCCTTTTCTGTAATTTTAAACCTCAGTCTTACCTTAGCCAGGTTAAGAACATTATCTCCCTCCTTAGCTTCTATAAATCTAGTCTATTTTGTTCCTTGAGATATGTATATGATATCTGTTTCTTTTTCAGTTAATAAATTCAGTTAAAATTCATCAGGTTCATTAAAGACAATTAAAGTCTATTAAAGTTCCTTTGGAAGGGAAAGATTTGAGACATAGAAACATTTTACTCTTGATGCTTTTCATTGTGGGTTCTTCAAAAGACTGGTTGGAATTGAATCCTAATACAAGGCTAAACAGGACATCTCTAGGAAAAATTTCCTAGCCTATTTCTAGTAATAAATTCTGCAAAAGCCAATGGTTCTTTCACTGAGTTCCCAAGTGGATAGAGATAGTTTATTTAAATGTACAAAACTGAGTGTTTATTTGCCAGGTCACAGGAATATGTAAACAAGCTCACTGTGTTTAATGACCTTCCTTGTAGAGTCACTCCAGATGGCAGCACGTTAAACATTTTCAGAGCGCTCAGTTCTGATACAGGAAAATACACTTGTGTGGCTACTAATCCTGCAGGAGAGGAAGACCGAATTTTCAACCTGAATGTATATGGTGAGTTTTCACAGATGTGAAACTGAAATCTGGTCTGTAATCCTATCTCTGTAAGCACTCGCAAGAGAGGGCCAAGAAAGGAATGCCTCTCTTCAGCATAATATCACATGCATATGTTTCCAATTTCATGTACTATAGATATCTCAGTATATTACACAGGATGTTCTGTCAAAGACAAAATGATTGAAATAGCTGGTAAATGTGTTTTGAGATAAACATAAATTAATTCCTTTGGTGTATTTCATATTAGAGGAATTCTGTTTGCGGTGATTTTGAAAAGTCTTTTTCCTTGTAGAGAAAGATACACTTGGGGCTGATTTGCTACGGAAGTGGTATTTGTGTTCTATTAGTTTATCTTTGCTAATTCCATCCAAAGTACATCAGCTAAAACTGGAGAGGTATGGTAGGGAACAATCTGCATAATTTGACCTACAGAAGATGGTGAGCATGACTCTTCTTTAGCAGTGTAGACTGTGGACAGTTTAATTTGAAAAAAAAAAAAAAAATTGATGAAGTTCAGTGTCTGGCATGAAGGAGTGAAGAGTCCTGCACAGGCAGCATTTCCCAGCGATGTAAGTGTCTGTCACACACCGAGGCTCAGAGTCAATTGGAGTACGAGCACAAGCAGAGTAGTAAGAGATGTCCTTTGAAATAATAACTAACAACACTGAATGACCATATCGTATCTTCTGGGGACAGAATCACACTACACAACAGTGGAGACTTTTTTTAGTCAATTTGTATTGCTTGAGGTTCAAGCAATGACAGACTTCAGTCTGTGCAACTGTCATGGTGCATGCCAGAACCCTAAGTCAGACAGAGCTCAGAGCTGCATGCGGCTGGGATTTCTGTATATAGTGAGTCCCCTCTTGCCCCCAGGACCAAGGCTTTCAAACTAACATATAAATCCAAAAAACCCAGAAAGCAGTTCTATTATTCAGCTAGAATATTTAGTTGGGCATTTGGAAATTTTCTATATTTAAAACTGAAGTCAGTATATATGTATCTAGAAGTTAATAAACTAACTTTCCTCCTGCATGATTCTAGCTTTCACTTTATTTTAAGATTTCTTGAAGTAGGTGGGTTTGAGTGGCAGTGAACTGCCGTGTCCCATCGGGCCCTTAAAGTGGTTTGGCCCATCCCCTCCAAGGCCTGACCACTTGCTCCTTCCTGCATTGTAGTTCTCTCCCTCTTTTTTGCCACAAACAAATCAAAGAGAGAATCTTACTGCTATTCTAAAGTGTGTCAGATTTTAAATATGTACATGGATAACTTATTAGGGCTCAATATTGTGCTTAGAGGATTTACTCTTTAAAAAAAGTAATTAATGGGGACATTCTTAGTGAATTGCCTGCGGAGCATTAGGTGCAGGGTTTCCTGCAAGGTAACACGTGCGGAATAATTTTAAGAGCCAGTTTTAATATCTTCCTTTTCAATATTTACAAAATGCAGTTCCTCCAACAATAGCCAATAATAAAGATGAACCAGAAGACCTCACTGCCCTTTTGGACACCTCCCTAAATGTTGAATGTACTGCTACCGGAACCCCACCACCTCAGATAAACTGGCTAAAGAATGGCCTGCCTCTGTCTGTCTCCTCCCAAATCAGGTTGCTGTCAGCTGGGCAAATTCTCAGGTTGGTTTTCCTCTATTTTAACTAGCTGCATTTTCTGTTCTCTTTTGCTGTGTCAGCATAATTCTGGTAGTATTTTTGGAAGCAAGAACAAAACTTGATCCAAACCATACCATAATAAAGATAATGTCTTCCATTTACAGCTTGCTTAAAATGATTTTCTCTTTAGAGTTGCCCGAGTGCAAATATCTGATACCGGTGTGTACACTTGTGTAGCGTCTAACAGGGCAGGGGTGGATAACAAGCATTACAACCTTCACGTTTTTGGTGAGTTTCTCTGAAATTATATAAAGAATCTTATTTCTTAGTTTCTTAAATCTAATATTCAGTTTCCTTTCTCACCAACTTGAAGTGGCAGACAGCCACAAGCACATGATGATTACCTACCTAATGTAGTTAGTCATTAGGGAAACTAGCTTTCCAATGTGTATTTTTTAGTGCAAAGTGTTTTATTAATCCATAATGTGTCACAGTTGTGTGTTTTTTTAGTAAGAATAATAATGTATAATTTCCAAGTGAATTTTAACACAGGTGCTAAACACCAATGTAAGTGGAAAATGCAAAAGGGTAGCTGCGTTCCCATTTTTTTTATGTTCAGGATTAAGACCTGGGTTGTGCTCTGTATGAATGGGATCTTTGTTTCTCGGCAGTCCCGCCAAGCTTGGATAACGCAGGAGGAACAGAGGATGTGACTGTAGTAAAAGGCAATTCGGCTTCAATGGAGTGTCTTAGTGACGGCACGCCTGCCCCCACAATGTCCTGGTTCAAAAATGGGCAGCCTGTCAGCCTTGGAGCTCACCTCACGTCAAGTAACCAGGGAATGGTCCTTCATTTTGTAAAAGCAGAGATTGGTGACACAGGCAAATACACCTGTGTAGCATCCAATGCAGCTGGGGATAGCAGCAAGCACTTCTCCCTAAAAGTGCTGGGTAAGTGTTAACCTTTCAGATGAGCAGAAAGTGAGCTGTGCATGAGTATCTACTCTGGACAACAACTGAAAAGATCTCTAGGGATAAGGAGTATTTTCAAGAAACATTTACTGGGATAGATAAGAGAAATAAGGAAATAGAAGATAAATAATGTGTGAATGTGTAGTATAGTGTGTATTTTTTTCCAACACTTTGTGAGTACTGGAATATGCCATGATTAACACTAAACTGATTTATAAATTAATTTGGTTTAAATGAATAACTTTGGTCAGTAGAAACTCATCTTGGCAGAATGATAGCACAGCTAAAGGCATAGCTGAAGGGCTAATAAATATATTTGATGTTATTATATGTATTTAGCTGGGATTGTGAAAATACTTCAACTAATAATTACAGCTCATACGCATTAATAGACAGAGGCAGACAAAAATTACGTGAGATACTTGGTGAGCTCCTGAAACAGCCAGAAATAACACTAATGTAGACTAACTCTACAGACTCTAACCACAAGGCTGTGTATCGTGTTTTACAAAACAGGTTTTCTGAGTCAATAAAGAACTCGGATGTTTTTCCTTCCACAGAGCCGCCTCACATCAATGGGTCAGATGAACCAGAAGAGCTCTCCGTCATCGTCAACAACCCTCTCGAACTTCTCTGCATCTCTTCTGGCATTCCAGTCCCCAAAATCTCATGGATGAAGGATGGGCGCCCACTTCTGCAGAATGACAATGTTCATGTGCTAAGAGAAGTCCTTCAGATAACCAGTGCTCAGGTAGAGTATTTGTTGCAAAGTAGGCTCAGTTTTGCAAACCCTAGAGGGATGCACAGAACTGCCTGCTGTTAGACCCATCCTAAGAGATGTCCTAAAAAGCCTCTGTGAAATGATCCACCTGCATTTGTGGTTAGAGGATGTGTTTTTCAAGCCTTGCCTTGGAGTTTCCTGTATGGAACAAGCAGTTTGTATTATGAGTTGAGAGTGGCCAAGCGCTTTTGAACATTATTATTTCAAGTTAATTTCAGAGTTCTGTAATTATTATTGGTGCTTCTTGTTACAAAGCAGAACAATGAATGCTAGGGGTTATTTCTGGCTTTAGTCTGTGTCTCTAATCTGTTCTTCATTTCCTCTTACTGTCTCATGCTTTTCTTCTTTAGTGTTACTCCTTATCTTTTATTGTCTTTCAGTTAGCTCAGATTTTCCAATACCCATTTGCTTCTTATATGTGTAAGTCATAGATGACAGAGAAAAGCTGCATTTGCAGTTATCTGTGTGCAAGTAAATAAAAAAATAAAGACAATTAGAAGGACTTTCAGATTAATTCAGACAAGGAGAGTCCAGGGGAAAAACAGTTTGAAAACCTGCACCAGTAAACTAAAGCTGGATTCAGCTGAGCTGAAGTTCACCAAATAGAAGTGGGACAGGGCTTGGGAATGATTGCTCCTTGGTTCATTTTTTAAACAAACGCTTGTTGCCTTTTCAGTGAAGAGTTTACAAAAAGGAGAAGAGATAAAGGTATTAATGAGTATGCATGCACAAAAAATTTCCTTAGTACCCCAAACTGACTCTTGTTTAGATGGATGCCTACAGCCGGTTCCAGGTTTATTGATTACTTCTTGCAAAAAGCATCACAAAGAGAAAGGTTCTTGCTGGAGACACATTATCCAGAGAGATTTTGTGGGGACCTGCAACTCCCAAGCCATTTCTGTACTGTCCCACCAGAGTTGAATAAAGAAGTTTTCAAGAATGTCATTAGTTTATTTTCAGGCATTCCTTGCCCACTGTGTTTGTGTTCAAGTGCTGCCATATTTGTATTTCACAGTTTTTCTCCATTGTTGCCATATTTTGAGGTTTCTGCTGAAGCTGTTCCTGTATTTCTAGGTGGAGGACACAGGACGATACACGTGTTTGGCATCTAGCCCAGCAGGAGATGACGATAAGGAATATTTAGTAAGAGTGCATGGTAGGTTGAATTTAGGGAAAAAAACCCCCTCCTTTAGAGTATAAACTACTACAGTATGTATCTATATCTCATTTAACAAGTTTCTTGTTACTGAACAAGAAGTAATATGTTTTGAGAATGTGATACTGCACCATATGATCGTAATTAACGTTTCTGAATCAGAGTAGCTATTCTGAAAATGATACACCGTTAGAAGGGAAAGTTCCACCTGATGCAGCTGATTTCTGTTACAATTCCACCTCTTGTATTTTGAATACCTAGGAAGTTCATAGATACCAGTATTCAGATGGACTAAGTTTATTGTGCTTACTGAAAAAAAATGTGAAGTATACTGGTATCTGTGATAATCTTAATTTTTCAGTGGAAAAAGGTAAGAAATGTATTTAGAAATGACTCCATAAAACACATGTGAGTAAAGGAAGTATAAATGGGACACCTGCAGTTCTACAATATCCCCGGGTTTCTTCTTGGAGATTATATCTCCCATGTTTATTAGCAAACCGTTTACAGAACTTTGTGATCTCTGGTCTGTCTAGCTGAAATGCTGGTACTTTCACTGAGAGTGGAGTTTAATTTCTGTCGCTTAGGAAACAGATTCACCAATTAAACAAATGTGATAATTTTAACATGAGTATTGGGGAGTAGAACTAATTAATGACAGTGTAGCTTTGCATTTATTTTAAACTTAAGAAATAAATGGTAAATTTTCAACAAATTAATTTTAATGGTAGCTCATACCTGTGGTATTTATTTTTTTTCTTTATTTTTGTAACAGTTCCTCCTAACATTGCTGGTACCAGTGGCCCACAGGACCTCACCGTGTTGCAGAACAGACAAGTTATACTGGAATGCAAGTCAGATGCTGTGCCACCTCCAACAATCTCGTGGCTTAAAAATGGAGAACTTTTCGAGGTACAGTGGTTACGTAATTTGTACTAGTCTTTTGCTCCCTTTATGTTTTACACACAGTGCCTGAGGTCTCTTATTCCACTCACTTGCCCCTTCAGCGCAGTCCAAGTTATGGTGCCTTGAATTCCAGAGAAACCGAGTAGCCCCAGGCCAAATACAGTTAGTCCTAATCGAGTTACCTGAAGCCAGCAAGCATGTGAAGTAGCCATCCCGCTGTTACTTGTTCTTTTTTCCTTTAGGGGGATCCCTTGCTCCTCCTGGATCCTCTGAACAATGCTAGAAGCCTTCGGTATACTCCTGAATGGCTTCCCAGGACAGGTAGCTGAGAAAAGACTACACTATGTCTTTCCTTTGGGTATATTATGCATCCTCCTATTCTAGTAGTGTTTAGAAAGGAATTGAAATTCTTTATGTTGGAGAAAAAAAGAAAAAAAAAAGAAAATGGGTTGCTGATCACCACAGTTTTGGTATCAAATGCAGCTTTTTCACTCAGACCTCCATGTAGTGTCATGTTAAGGCATTGAGGCTCTGCTGGTTGGGAGACAATTTGCAAGATAAGAATGGTTTATAAGGAATTTTTTTTTACTTCCCATCCTATTCCTTGACATCACTCAGAAACCAGGTGCTTTCTAAATGAAAAATTTAAGTTCCGTTATTAATTGAACTTAATAAATTGATAATTTTACTACAACTGTTCTTTAAGAAAAAGGAAACAAATTCAGCCCATGAATTGTGTTTCCCTTAACTGTAGTCCATCATTAGTCTTCAGCTGAAGTTCTGCTTATTTGCTTTGCTTTTGACATGCAGTTCCTCAGACTCTTTCTCTGTCGTAAATTTAGAAGAATGAAATATTAGTGGAAGAAGTAAGAATATGGTGGGCATGTCTTATTAAGTGCTAGGGAATGTAGCACAAAAACTAGCTAGAAACAAGTTTAACAGAAACACTCTTCTTATAATGATTAATTATTTAATTGGGTAGTAATATTTTTTTTAAAATTGCAAGGTTGAACAAGACTTGGAAGTTAAGTATGTGGATACTTTTTGCCTCAGTCTTCCTTGGAAAGCTTGTGTTTTAAAGCGTTATTTAAGAAATGTAAACCAAGAAAAGAAGGCACTATTACAAATATTCACCAGAAGGCAGAGCAGGAGAGGAACACTATGATAGACAGAGATACTCAGCTGATAACCTGTAAATTAACTTCTGTAATGTTAATTTTCTTCTTGCCTCATGAATTCATATCAATATATGAGGGTTGAGGCGTCTTGGTTGTACAATAGTATGGCCAACCCCCCTGCCTTTCGATTTATGCTAGAGTAGGGAATTGCAGTCTCTTAGAGGTAGCTCTCCTCCAGCACTAAATCTAATTACAAATTTAATTCAGACATTAATTTATGATGTATATTTTAAGTAGCAGACTTAGGTTTATTCTGTCCCCTACTGTCCTTCTCATTCTTCAGCTTAGCTTATGTAAATGCATACTCTAGAGACCAGGGAAACATTAGTGTCCTCCTGAATGCCTGGTTGCTTTTTCAACCTCAGGGAAATGTAACAGCCTGTTAATACTAAGCAGCTGGGAAAGAGCTCTCATTGGGTGTGGAAAGAAGGGTACTCTGTGGCCTGTCATCCTCGTTCTCTTGGAAAAATTGACATTTCATGGTGACAAGGGAAGATTGGAGAAAATCAGGTTCTCAGGTTGCAGCTTTATTTCCGTTTAAATCGTTACTCTTTTTTCTGAAACAGCCTTGCAGTGGAGAGTGTCACTCCAGGATAATTCCTCCTGGTTTTGTTATCTTCTGCAGTACAGGTTTTAAGGTCTACTCTAGAACTCTGTATGCTTAATGATGTAATTTTGCAGCACCACCGGTTTTGGTAGCAGAGCTCTAGAAAGATACGACCTCTGTCAGCTTTGTCCCTGCCCCCAGCGGAGGGCTTGGAACTAGATGATCTTCAAGGTCCCTCCCACCCTTAACCATTCTATGATTCTATGGACTCCTTACACTCCCTTATTTTGGAAATGCACGTTGAGTGTTAAGAAAAGAAATAGGTAGGAGGATCTTGCCCTAATCTGGCTTTATTTAAGCACTAAAAGAATTACTGAATTTGTGGGTTTTTTTCAAAGATGAGTTTTCTGATGTACCTTGAGTAGAGCATAAGGATTAAATGATAGCTTCATCACTTGTCTTTTTGTCATCTGTTTGCTTCTGTGTTTAGAAACCATAGCATAAGCAGCGTACTCAACAGGAAATAGCAGATATTACCCCAAATCTGACTGTCTGTAACCCGCTGTGATGGTCAGTCTCATTCTACCTGTGAGGCTTCAGCACCGCTGTTTATTCTGCCTTGGTAGACTTGCTGAGTTGGTGCCTGAGATGAGACCAGCACGTTAGGGAGCTAGTACGGAACTGGAGAAGATTCACTGATCTGTTGTAGTTGCTCTTGTCAGATCTCCTAACCAGAAGAGTAGATGGGAATGTCAGCTGTCTGTGGTGTGTGTAGAACATACTGGAAATGTTTGAGTTTCAGTTCTTTTCCTACTGCCTTTTTTTTTTTTTTTTAAATCCAAGTCCAGTTTTTTAACACCTGTAGTTGATATTGCCGTCAGTCATCCATGCAGGTATGACCCAGACTGGCTGTGGTAAAAAAGCTTTGACTTGAAATGTAGAGTCATTTTAGAGCTGAGAAGAGTGGTATCTCCATAGTCAGAAACGCTGGCTACCAAACTTAGGAGGCTCAGTTTATGTGGGCTCCCACCTGGACAAGGCTGTGACGTTTGAAGAGCAGTGTAGAGAAACATAGTGTAGTGTGCATTGGATTGTTGAAAAAATAAGTAAAATTCATCATGTGCTATTCATTGCTCCTTTCTGTAAAAACTCAGAAACGTCTAGGCTATGTAACCCTAAAAAGCTGCCTTATTCAGGCACAAGTTCTAGGCAGGGCTTCAAGGGGGACTGGTTAGGCAATGACAGTTTTTTAAAACTCCGTTTATCCTGTTATCTTCATGGATGTAAACAAGGTTATGCCAACAGTGAATTCAGTCCCTCATTTATCTTTGGCCTTCTTTCATGGTTTTTATTACTCTGCAATGAAAGAATGTTCTCTCTTCATAAAGAGAGCAATGGTGAAGTTAAATTTGTCAAACTCTCTCTTTACCCTTAGGGAACTCCTCGTGTCCGAATCCTCTCCAGTGGGCGCTACCTGCAGATCAATAACGCTGAGCTCAGCGATACAGCAAGCTATACATGTGTGGCGAGTAATATCGCAGGAAAAATGACCAGGGAGTTCGTGCTGACAGTGCATGGTAAAATTGTGGATCCAATGTTGTGCATTTTGATCTTTGCATGGTATTTCTGCAGGAGTCCATAATGGCAAGAATCATGAAATAGTCTCTTTCTAGCCAAGTTTTGATCACTTAGACTATGTCTAAACTGTGGGACCACGTGCGTTACATCATGTGTGCCACCAGCTGAGGCCACAGGTGTCCCCCACGCAAAAGGACCTGTTGGGGACTCACCATGGCTCACTCTGCATCTGCTGCTGGAGAGTGCTGCGCATCTAGCAGTTGTCCTGATATGGGGGTAGGACATGTCCAGCATGAACACCCAGATCCAAGGCTGAGAAGTGCTCTTGGATAAATTAAAAAAATTCCTAAAAGTATTTGACTGGCACATTGAGGGGGAGTCTAGGTTTCATAGCTGGCTTGGCCACCAGTTTTGCAAGTTACTTGAAAACGGTGGCTACTTCTTCACACCTGTGAGCAGGAGATAGGAAGAAAGGGTTTGAAGTGCCTTATGCATCTTGATACTTGTCTTGTCCTCCTATAGGCTTGTTTTGTTGTACCCCTATTTATTTTCTCACCTCTAGTCTGATGAGAAACTATTATATTCTCACACTCAGGTGATGATAAACTTTCTTCCTGTTTCTGTTGTGGTCACAACCCAATCATACGTACCTGCATTACACTGTGCCCCACCAAGGACTGTTCTTAGTACTCCAATTGAAATTCGTTTTTTCTCCTTAGTTTATAATTAGGAAGCAAAGATATCACCACAGCCTTACTTTGCTAAATTAAACACGCTGGGTTCTTGTGCCATTTTAGCTATATGATAGCCTTTGCAGTAACTTACAAAAATGATCTTTACACCGTGTTTCAGCCAAACTTTCTCTTTCATTCCTTACTGCATCGTGGCCATTGCCGTGCCCTACACAAAACGGTAAGAAACTTGTTTCCGTCTTTGCAGTGATTTCCGTACCCATTGCTGCATCCATTTCCACGTGTTTAGCTTCAGTCATTGCAGTGTTAAGTCTTGCTTTTCTCCACCCGTCAGCGATTTTTCCCTTTACAGTGGCTCCTACGATCCGAAGCAGTTCTCCAACCGCTGCGGTGCATGTAAATGCTTCTGCAGTTCTGGAGTGTGTTGCGGAAGGAGTACCGAGCCCAAGAGTTACGTGGAGGAAGGATGGGGCTGTTTTCACTGGAAACAATACGAGGTATTGTCCAGGAGTCAGCATAAATATTAGTATTTTCTTCATTGTTTTTCAAGAATGTAGTAATTACGGAAAGCTTACTTAGACATCTATGATGTGTTAGTTTCATTTTCACAGATCAGACCTAATATTTGTACTATCCTCATGAGTAGACCCAAATGGAGAATATACGGTGATACACACAGTAATGCAAATAAATTGTTCTGCTGAAAAGGAGTGGTACCAAAGGTTTTATCCTTTTTATTTTAAGATGGGCAAAAAACTCTTGACAACCAAATGCAATAATAATTCTTTTGATATTAAAGATACTGAGCAGTAAACATGGAACATATTTGTATTTTTTATATATACAGAGTTTCAGAGTGAAGCCAGGCAATTTCATTTAGACTGAAAGCTACCTGAGTATACTTTCTAGTTCCTGATGTATAAAACTTTCTATACACGTTCTAGTGTCAACTTTTATTATGGTGAATGTTTTTGAGGGGAAATTGTTTGGCATTTTCTAGAACAGAGCAAATGCTAAAGAATTCAGTTACATTTCAAAGAAAGAGAAAATGTACAAGCAATAATTAAGTGTTTTAATATTAAAAACTATAAAAAAGGGCTTTTGGACATTTTCTGCAGATCTGTCATCATTTATGTGGAATCACTGTCCCTAATTTCTCTGGAAAATGGAAATGCTGGGATCAGAATCAGTGCAATAAAAGAGAATTCTGTATGTCCAAAGGATGACAGCACATGTTGAGGCTATTTGTGGTGTTACCCTCTGAGTCATCTTTTCCTTCTGCACTAACAAGATAGCTTATGGTTCTGTTGACTGGATAGTAGAAAAAAAAAATGGATAGTAGAAAAAAAATAAATGTGCCTTTGTTTCAGATATTCCATGTTAGAGGATGGATCTCTGCACATCCACTCAGCACAAGTTACTGACACGGGGAGATACGTGTGTATGGCAACCAATCCAGCTGGCACTGAGCGCAGACGAATTGATCTTCAGGTTCTTGGTAAAAGTTTTGTGTTCAGATAAATGCATGTGTTTTTACAAGTCTCGAGCCCAGTTACATAATTCGTCTTGTTCTTTCAGATCCAATTTTAAGTTTTGCCCCTTTGTGGCTGCTCTGGTAATAACAAAAAAAACAAAAAAAAACAAAAAAAAGAGAGATATACAGCCTTAGGAATACAACCCAAATGTTCATGAAAAGAAAATATTTATTTCTTATACACTAGATCTAGAAAGACTTGACACATCTCATGTTACATATCTAGTAAATTTGCTAATGTCACACTACTCTTTATAAAAACCAAGTGTTCAGGCAGTTCAGCTCTCTATATATTGGTATGAGAGGGGTGGTGTGGGCACATTTATGTAATTACTCTGAATAATTACGCTTTGTTTGTCCTTAGTTCCTCCAACTATTGCTCCTGGACATACAAATATTACAGTTACTGTAAATGTGCAGACCACTTTGCCTTGTGAAACCACTGGAATTCCCAGACCAACAATTAGCTGGAAAAAGAATGGGCATCTGCTTAGCGTTGACCAGAATCAGAATATGTATAGGTGAGAGGTGTTTTCTTTTCACCCTGGGTTTAAAGTTTTCCGGGATGATTTTGGCACTTTAAGCATCTAGCCATGCTTAAGTGTAATCTTGTGTAGCCAGCAAATTCAGTGGTCTGATGACCTGAGAAGAAGTGTTTCAATGGCTTTTACTTTTTTCTCTTTCCTTTGTTCAGACTTCTGTCTTCGGGTTCCTTAGTAATCATTTCTCCCACTGTGGATGACACTGCTGTCTATGAGTGCTCTGTGTCGAATGATGCAGGAGAAGATCGAAGAGCAGTTGAGCTCACTGTTCAAGGTAAAGGGGATGTTGCTGTTGCTGCATATGGCACCTAGAATTTCTCTGGGGCATTCCTATGTTGAGATGAGATTTTTGTCTCCTTCATTTATGATACTGATATCCATAAGTCTCTGGTATTCCTAAGAAAGATAAATTATTTCCAAGAAGGAGTAAAAATTAAAATGTGCAAGCAACCTTTACAGTGATCTTCCTTTTTTAGTGCCTCCATCCATAGCAGATGAAGCCACAGACCTTTTGGTAACAAAGCTGTCTCCAGTCGTAATTCCCTGCACCACCACAGGGGTTCCTGTCCCCTCGGTTCATTGGACCAAAAACGGCGTAAAGTTGCTTCCCAGAGGAGAGGGCTACAGGATTCTCTCTTCAGGTACTGGGTGTGACGCAAGCTCAACCACAGAAAAGTAGTGAAAGGGCGTGATTGTGCACATCTTAAATAAATGCAAACAATCCCCCAAATGAACTCTCTGTATTTATTCCTTAGAATAAATATATAGAACCTCTTAAGATGGACACCATAAGAGAGGTTTCCTGTAAATAGGGGATGCTGCCGTATGTCATAACGCCCTCTCTCTCTGCTGCAGGGGCTGTTGAAATACCGGCTGCTCAGCTCGCGCATACAGGACGCTACACCTGCGTGGCCCGGAACACAGCTGGCTCAGCTTACAGACATGCCACCCTTCACGTTCAGGGTAAGGGGGGAAGCTGAAGAGAAGTTGTGTTCTGTCAGTCAGCATTGCTCATTTCATATATGCGTATCCTGCAATGCTGAGGCAAGAGTGGACCATCACAAGTAGCGTCTTGCTCAGCCTAATTGTCTCGTGGCTGCACTGACTATTCACAGTCACTCCTCCGCATGTTACGACTCCCTCATACCTCAGACAAAGCCTCCCAGTACTTCCTGCTCTAGTTTATTTTTGTAAGATTTTTGTCTCTTCACTTTTTGGTAGGTTAAAATGTACCTGTGATGGCAAGCTGCGTGAAGTAAGGCTGTATTTTTTATACCCAGGCTCATGCTCAGTGTGGTGTTCTGTTTAAGAGCGCTATCGCTAAGCTCTTCATAAGGATGGCAGAGTACAGCCATTGCTAATTCAGCCCTCTGAGACTCTCCCGTTATGCAGTTTTAGTATCTTCTGTATTTTCTGGCCTTGAAGGTTAAATCTATGGTTTTTTCCTTTTTCTTTTGTTCCACAGAACCACCAGTTATCCAAACTCAGGCAGGGGTGCTGGATGTCATTGTGAACAATCCCGTTCTACTCCCGTGTGAAGCGACGGGCACACCCCGACCCATAATAACATGGCAAAAGGAGGGCATCAACGTCATCACAACAGGTATCTTCTTAAAGCCCATGGCTCCAGCCTGCTTGATGTAACTCAGAAACTTACATTTTCTTTTCTGAATGTTAGATATAAGGAGCTCGTTCATTTAAAAACAAAAAACAAGAGTGTCATATCTTGCTTGTGTTTGTTTCAGGCAACAGCTATATGGTCCTTCCAAGTGGCAGTTTGCAGATTGCAAAATCAGCTGTTGAAGATGCTGGCACATACATGTGTGTTGCTCAGAATCCAGCTGGCACTGCCCTGGGCAAGATCAAACTGAAAGTTCAAGGTAAATCATCTTTTAAACTCTTGTAGTGATGCACAGACAAGAAATTTGTGTGTGCTTTCTATTAGTTAAAACGCGATTCTGAGCAATAGACATGGACCTAATGCTTTCCTATTGGATGTGATGCTGAATAGAGGCCCGGAGGTTTATTCTGTTTACAAGGGTGTGCAGTGATAGGATGAGGGGCGATGGTTTTAAACTAGAGCAGAATAGGTTTAGATTAGACATTTTGAAGCTCTTTACTATGAGGGTGGTGAGACACTGGAACAGGTTGCCCAGCAAGGTGATGGAGGCCCCATTCCTGGATGCGTTCAAGGTCAGGCTTGATGGGGCTCTGAGCAACCTGATGTAGTTAAAGATGTCCCTGCTCACTGCAGGAGGTTGGCCTAGATGGACTTTAAAGGTCCCTTCCAACCCAACAATTCTATGATTCTCTTCTGTCTACTTTAAGATCAAAATATGCTTTTAGGGTTACTTTCACTAAGAACTTAACTCTGAACTCTTTTTCAGTTCCTCCTGTTATCAAGTCCCACCTCAAGGAATATGTTGTTCCTGTCGATCAATCTGTCACTCTGCAGTGTGAGGCTGAAGGCTACCCTGGGCCGGAGATCAGCTGGCACAAAGACGGACAGCCGATAACCGAGTCCATGAGCAAACGAATTCTTAGCACCGGAGCGCTGCAGATCGTGTTTGTGCAGCCCAGCGATGCCGGCCGTTACACGTGTGTAGCGGCAAACCTGGCAGGGTCCAGCACATCCAGCGCAGAGCTTGCTGTGCACAGTAAGTGTGGCTGTACAGAAATAACACAGGTTATCGCCATGTGAACCGACGGAGGGGGAGGGCAAGGAACGAGGATGCTGGGGAGAAGTTCAGGAAAACTGGGCTGCTTACTGGGTGAGTTTAATTGGATTGTGGTATCAGCTGGTTACTTGAATTTAGGAAGAACATTACATTTCCTTAACTCAGTTTATACCTTAGTACAAGGATTTTGCATGTTTCTCTGGCACGCTTAATGGTGGTCATTGATGGAGACAAGAAGATCCAGGCAGTGATTTCAGCCCAGTGTTGCATGCTTTTACAGTAGTGCTTGGATAACATAGAGAGGTAGATCTTTTTAATACACCTTCTCACAGTTCCACCCAAGATTCGCAGTTCGGATACACAGTACACGGTCACGGAGGACTCCCAGGCTGTCCTGTCCTGTGTGGCTGAGGGAATTCCACCACCGACAATAAACTGGAAGAAGAACAATATGCTGTTAACAGAGAAAGTAGGAAAATACCGGTCTCTGCCAGATGGAGACCTCATTTTGGACAACGTTGCTGTAAGTTCCCTAAATCAAAGCTGTGACTTGACAGGTTTGGCAGTAATAAGACCCCTCTTCTCCTTGTTTTCACCCATTTCTGGATTAGTCACTGTTTATTTTGTTTTCTTAATGTTCCAAAATCTTTATAAACATTTTATTTTCCACTAAGGAATAAAATCTATAAAGTATTCGTAGTAATAAATTCTCAGGAAGGGCAAAAAGAAGTGTAGGTCATCTTTTGAATTTAGAAGAAGTGAAAGAGTTCCAACGAGCGTTTCTGCTGAATGCTTGTTCCAAACCTTCTGAGACCATCTTGTTACAAGTAATAGTGTTGCATAGGATCTAGCACAGCTGAAATTTCCCAAACATGCTTTTTTTCAGCCCGATGATGCTGGCAGTTACACCTGTGTTGCTAACAACGCTGCTGGAGAAGACACACACACCATCACCCTGATAGTTCACATGCTTCCAGCTTTTACTGAGCTGCCTGGAGATATCGCTTTGACTAAAGGGGAACAGCTCAGATTAACTTGCAAAGCAACTGGGGTACCCGTACCCAAAATAACATGGACCTTTAACAATAACATCATTCCAGGTGGGTAACACTGGGTCTTACTGGCTGTTCTGCTCCCGGAGTTGGTTTCCCACACACAGTATTGCAGTTGGGTTACGGTAAGGAAGAAAAAAAAACATTTAGAGGGAGTAAGCTTGTTAGGCGATGATTGTGTGAGAAATATCTTCAGTATGAGGCAATCATGTAATTAAATTGCTTCTGAGGCAAAGCTGCAAGGAAAATAATTAAAAAACAATTTCTCATCTGTAACACATTAAAAGCATTCAGTATGTAATGATGTTTACTCAGCATCCAGCAACTAATGCTATTTATCATAAATATGAAGAAAACCTCAGCGGTTCACGGAATGCAGATGCACAAAGCTCGAAACTGAGCAAGAACTTAAGATAATACATGCATGGGGGCAAATGTCATGGCAGTGACTTCCCTGGCACAGTGCCATTGAGCTGTGTTGCTAAACAGCACCATAATTCAGTCTTGTGACATCCCAGGCACTGTGATGGACGTGTTTGAGATCAATGAGGTAACCCTTTGCTGTGTGTTCTCCCTTCAGCACAGTACGATGATGTAAATGGACAGAGCGAACTTGTTATCGAAAGGGTATCTAAAGAGGACTCCGGCACCTATGTGTGCACAGCAGAAAACACGGTTGGCTCAATCAAAGCTATTGGCTTTGTGTATGTCAAAGGTATGTAAAATAACACAGTTGTGGTCACTGTTGGACGATTTCATGCAGCTATCTGTTTTGATAGCGTAGAATCACAGAAAGGTTTGGGTTGGAAGGGACTTTAAAGACCATCTTGTTCCAACCCCCTACCATGGGCAGAGACACCTCCCACCAGACCAGGTTGCTCAAAGCCCCGCCCTACGTAACCTTGGACACTTCCAGGGATGAGGCATCCACAGCTTCTCTAGGCAACCTGTGCCGGTGTCTCACCACCCTCATAGTAAAGAACTTCTTCCTAATGGCTAATCTGAATCTACTCTATTTCAATTTAAAACCGTTACCCCAAGCATTTGATACCTTGTGTATGGCTGAATGGGAAAAATCAAAACAGGTTGAAATTCACACTTCAGAAAGTCAGAGATGAACAATTCCCTACTAACTACTCCATTAAGGGCATTTTATTTTGACTCTGCTATTTCTCTGCCATTACGTGTTTTTTCAGAGCCTCCAGTCTTCAAAGGCGATTACCACTCCAGCCGCATTGAGCCCTTGGGTGGCAACGCTATGTTGAATTGCGAAGTCAGAGGAGATCCACCTCCAACCATCCAGTGGAGCAAAAAAGGAGTTGGCGTTCCAACTAGCAACAGGATCCGACAGCTTCACAACGGTTCTCTTGCGATCTACGGCACTGTAGTGAGTCGTTGGTCTGTTACGACGTGTTTCTGCCCCTGTACTTGATCAAAAGAGGTATTCCAGATCGTATTGTTTCAAAGAGTGAGGCTAGACAGTCAATCCACTTGTGCTTTTACCTTTCACGAATATTGGTTTAATTCAGCCTAGAATGAGATGCAAATTATTGTGACAAAAAAACCCAAGAGGGATGCTATAGTTCTCTTTATTGTCAGGACTGAATCTCATACTCATCATTGTCATGCAAAATCCTGGCAGTGCCTAATTAAATGGGACTTTTACTTTTGACCTGAAAAAAGCCTGGGTTCTGCCCAGTCAGGTCAGATGAAAAGGAGTCATGTTGCCCATGCACAAACCTCTTAGCATCCTAGTAAGAATGGCAAGACCGATTTTATCCCTATAAACCAATGCCCCTATTTTGAAATGAGGGTAAAAGCAGCATGTTCCTTGAGCTCATTTAAATGAAAAAAAAAAAAATTGATCCTCAGAATTTAAGAATTGAAGGAAATAACAAATGGAATAATAGCAGTAAAAAATAATTCACAATATCAGCTTGATGTTAATAAAAGGAAAATGCTGGGATACTCTAGGATCTAACGGGGTACCTCTTCAGCCCCACGTTGTGTTGCGGAAAATTCACCTCTGGGAGGTGCACCGTAAACCGAAACCCCCATTAAGCATTTGATGGCTTATATGACTATTTGATTTTTGTTTCTTTAGAATGAAGATGCTGGTGACTACAAGTGCGTGGCCACCAATGATGCTGGTGTGGTGGAACGCAGCCTGACGCTAACACTTCAGAGTAAGGCTCAAAGTGACGAGTTCAATGCTACTAGATTGGAGCGATAACCTACCTTTAGATAGGTGTATGCAGCTCCTGTGGAAGGTTTGGAGGTTGGGCACTGCTCTGTAGGTTAAGATTCATCTCATCTTTCATCATTGATATTTAAGTCTAGTCTAAGCTAGTGATTGAAGACAAAGAAGAAATCGATATGGCGAAGTAGTTCAGCCTCCTCCTAGAAACCAACTTAGAATGGAGTGAGTCTACCTTTTGAAAGGGCCCGTTTCTCTTAGCTGGCTGGAGAGGATGTCTGTTAAACTAGACTCTTAAGTTTAAATGAAGAAAGTCACATGAGATGAATTCCTGCTTTCACTGTCAGTATTTCAATTTTGGCAGAAATATATTTTAAAATTAGTTTGTCACTTGTGGCAGAATTTATGAACATCCTTTTTCTATTATAGCCTCAAGCAGTAAGGATCTGTTACTTATGTCTCAGTTGCCTCTGGACATGATTAATAGCATCTTCCTCCAGGTTTTATGAAAAGCAACACATTTTATCAATAAAGAAGACTGTGTGCTCATCCAGTCAGGCCTCAATCCCAGTTTTAGTCCTTAAGTTGCTTCATTAAAAATAGCCTATCCTTGTCATTTTATCTTGCATATGTTTTGACAGTGGAAGATAACAATAATTTTAGTCAAAGTAACTCGACTTAGGATTTTTGTGCCCTCATTTTGTGCCCTTTAATATTCTGTACAAGGAAAAAAAATGTCACTGATTCTATGATTCTATCACCTAAAGAAACCTCTCCTTTCAGGTCCTCCGGTCATTACTGTTGAACCTGTAGAGACAGTTATCGAAGCTGGTGCCACAGCAATGCTGAACTGCCAGGCCAACGGAGAGCCTCCTCCAGCCATTGGATGGTCCCGCCAAGGTCACCCAGTTGTGAGCGATGAGAGGGTGACTGTCCTCTCTAACGGCTCCTTGCAGATTGTTGCAGCGCGGAAGGAAGATACATCTGAGTATGAGTGTGTTGCGAGGAATCTAATGGGATCTGTTCTTGTTAGAGTACCGCTGACTGTCCAGGGTAGGTGAACAAAGTATATGATAATGGCTGTGAAACTGGTAGATTCTGGCATTAATTGTAAATAAATGTGATCAATATTTTATCCACATAAGGATAAGATATTTCAGTCTAACCTCCCTGTCAGAGCAGGATCCCTAGGGCAGCCACACAGGAACACGTCCAGGCAGGTTTTCAAAGTCTCCAGAGAAGGAGACTCCACAACCTCTCTGGGCAGCCTGTAAAGTCTCTCCTCATGTTGAGCTAGAACTTCCTGTGTTCCAGCTTATATCCATTATTCCTTGTCCTATTACAGGACACCACAGAAAAGAGACCGGCCTCCTTCTCTTGACACCCACCCCTCAGGTATTCATACACATTAATAAGGTCCCCTCTCAGCTGTCTCCTTTCAAGTTCTCTCAGTCTCTCTTCACAGGACAGATGTTCAAGTCCCTTAATCATCCTCGTAGCTCTCTGTTGGACTCTCTCCAGTAGGTCCCTCTCTCCCTTGAATTGGGGAGCCCCAAACTGGACACAGTATTCCAGGTGTGGTCTCACCAGGGCAGAGTAGAGAGGAAGGAAAACCTCCCTAGACCTGCTGGACACACTTTCCTTATTGCACCCCAGGATCCCATTGGCCCTCTTGGCCGCAAGGGCACGTTGCTATCCCATGGACAACTCACTGTCCACTAGGACTCCAAGGTTTTCTCCACAGGACTGCTTTCCAGCAGAGCAGCCCCTAATGTGTCCTCCCCAGATGCAGGACTCTACACTTGTCCTTACTGAACTTCATGAGGTTCCTCTTTGCCCAGCTCTCCAGCCTGTCCAGATCTCATTGGATGGCAGCACAGCCTGCCTGGGTGTCAGCCACCCCTCCTAGTTTCGTATCATCAGTGAATTTGCTGAGGGTGCACTCTATCCCCTCATCCAGGTCATTGATGAAGATACTGAACAAAACTGGACCCAGTACTGATCCCCGGGGAACACCACTGGCCACAGGCCTCCAACTTGACTCTGTGCCGCTCATCAGTGGGGTTCTGCTTCGTGTCACTTTGTTGTTTCTGCTACGCTTACCCAGCTGTGAGACAGATGAGCGTGAAGGGTCGAGAGACGTAAATAGTAATGAAAGGATCTTGAATTAGATCCCTTCCTCAGAACATATATCGTAGCTGTACTTCTAAAGAAAAGCATTTAGGAGCATAAGCGATGTGTTGCAAAACAGCTGAAGTATTCTCTGAACTGAGTACAGTATTTCTGCAGTAACGAAGACATGAAGTGAGCTGGATTGTCCAGTATGGCCTATGCAGTGCATTTTTCACTTTGCTTTATCAGTTAGAAGCACGTTACAGACAATGTCTTTTCCCCCTTGCAGTGCATGGTGGATTTTCTAACTGGCTGGAATGGCGAGCCTGCAGCGTAACTTGTGGCCAGGGGATGCAGGAGCGAGTCCGTCAGTGCAACAACCCTCTCCCAGCAAACGGGGGGAGGAGGTGTGAGGGGCCATGCCCCCCCCTGCCACAACAAACCATGCCCAGGTATTTCTTTTTAACAAATTGATACTTTTAGCATGCCTTGTGTTAACTGCCCTCGTGGTGAACCGTTATCACCACGGAGCCTCACAATCAATTCATTTTATTAAGATGCAGTTCAGTGTGACTCCTGCAGAAAGGAAGAGGAAATTTCAATAAATACCACAAATTATTTTTTTTTAATTAAAACCATGGTGTTCTCTGTTTCTTAGTGGACGGCAGCTGGTCGGAGTGGGGGCTGTGGGAAGAGTGTTCAAAAAGCTGTGGACAAGGCAACAGGACCAGAACCAGAACATGCAGTAACCCCCCGGCCCAGCATGGTGGGAAGCCCTGCGATGGCAGTGCCGTGGACTCGGTCATGTGTAACATCAGGCCTTGCCCCAGTAAGAGAAGAGGGCTTTCAAATTAGTTGCACAATAGCTTTCTTTTTTGTCCTCCAAATTCTCTCAGCTTGTTTCAGATTATTAAATTATAACACAACTAAGCTCCCATTTTTACTTCTTTTTAAAATAAAATTGCTTGTATTTTAATTGAATGGCACTAGTTCTTGGAAACAGAAGTCACAAAAGTAAGTGCAAGGAGTATTCTAATCAATTTCTCTTCCCCCTCCCCAATACAAAATGTTAATTCTGTATTTTGATGATTTCCCGTGTACTCGTTACCCTCGTCCTCAGAATAAAACTTTCTATTCTAAACCTATTCTGCAAAGCCAATTAAAATAACAAAACAAACAAACCATCAGCTATTAAAAAGCCATGTAAAATATGATAGTTAATAAATTAAGACATTATCCATATATTTTCCTCTGTTGTTTTACTTTTCAGTCCCATGTCTTTATCCTAGCTAGCTGAATGTTAATGTTTCCTTCCTATCTTGGCAAACGTGGGATGTACTACCAAGTTGTAGTTTATTCCTAACCTTTCACCACTGGCATATTTCCTTCTATATGATTTTCATGACATTGATTTTTCCCTTTTTCCCTGGCTCTGCTACCACCACGATGCCAAATGTTTCTCTGTTGGCCTAAGATACGTTTCTCTAGATCTTGGCAACAAGATCAGTCCTGGCTCTCGCTTACCGGTAACATGCCCGCTTTTGGCCAGCGTGCCCGCTTTTGGCCAGCGTGCCCCTTCCCGGCTGAGACAGCACAGGGCACTCAGCCCAGCACAGGACACTCAGAGCCAGGTAATTTAGGGAAACACCAGAGTCTGTCAAGCGCTTGGCTCTTTGTTCCAAGAGTGTAGTGAGGTGATATATTCAGAAAACAGACAGGAAAGAATTAGTCTCTCTTTTGCAAACTGGTGATCCGTTTCAGCTGTTGCTCGAGGCAAAGGCTTTTTCAAGGGCTTCTCCAGAATATTTCATTTGTTGATATTAACACAGCTTTTTTTGCCTGTGGAGCTGTAATCTCACTTTAAAACAGTTGTGTAGTTTAAATGGTTTTATAACTGTGCTGGCTTTGCAGTTGATGGTGAGTGGAGTTCTTGGCTGCCTTGGGGTCCCTGCAGTGAGACGTGCGGGAAGGGCACTCAGACACGGCTGAGGCTCTGCAATAACCCTCCTCCTTCCCACGACGGGTCCTACTGTGAAGGCTCCGATGCACAGATGCAAGTTTGCAACAAGAGACGCTGCCCCGGTGAGTCAGACACAAGGAGAGCAGCACCAAACTCAACCAGCCGAGGGCTCAATATTGCAGATTGATCTGGCTTGATGTGCTGCCTCTGAGGCAGCTGCTGCCCACAGCCAGCTGGAGGTTGATCGGCCTCTTCTCAGCCACCAGGTGAAGCGCACACGCAGATGTACCTGTAACAGTTTGTGTCACCATGGCTTGAGAGATCAAGGATCCTACTGGCCAACTACTTAAAACTTGCTCATGAGATAATTTAGTAATAACTCCTATAAACAGCTGAACCAGTACATCAGAGGTTAATTAGGAAGGAGTGGGGATGCGGTGGTGATGGTGACACCTTCGGACAGTGCAGCTGCTGCCAAAGGAGGATGCATGAGTGAGGACTGGGGCTTTGAGGTGGCCCAAGTTCTGGCCATCTGCCCAGCATGGTAGTTTCAGGGACTGCTTTGTATATGGTGTGACTTGCTTACAGGTACCTAAAAATGTGAGAGTGAGCTTGAGGAATGAGTGATCTCTGACCATGGTTCTGGTCAGACTTGCAGGTTATTTAGCGGACAAGTCATGCTCTTCTCCAGTTTCACTTCTAGAAATCTCTGTGTAGCTTAGATGTTCTACAGAGAGTCAGTAACATTCTAGAGTCAGTTCTACTGATGCACTTTGTTATTTCTAATGTCAGAGACCATGACCAACACTTGCTCTGCCTTTCTCACCAGTGGACGGCAAGTGGGCCCCGTGGAGCAGCTGGAGCGCCTGCACCGTGTCCTGTGGAGGAGGCAGCAGGCAGAGAATGCGCCACTGCTCCGACCCAGCCCCGCAGTTTGGGGGTCACAAATGCGAAGGAAGTGACATGCAAACTGATTTTTGCAACAGCGATCCTTGTCCCAGTAAGTGTTTTTTATTCGCGTGCTGCGTTTGAGTGGGTGCATGGGAGGAACGAAGCCCTCCACAAATCACGCGGTCCCACAAAGTTTAGGGCATCTGAATGCAGGTGAGTGGAATTGTCTGCCTGGTAGGAGTGAAAGTATCTCTTCTTCAGTCAGACAGGGACATTTTGAATGTTACCTGTTAGGAGCCTGAACCAGTAGCAGCTGGTCCAGAAGGTCCTGCTGGACTGGCAGCGGGCACGCCTGTCTCTGAAGTTACAACTGTCCACTCAGAAAGTCCTGCGAAGTCAATCTCTCTGCCTCTCACAGCAGAGTGGGGCAACTCTTGGGGTTAATGTGTGCTGCGTGCTTTCCTGTGAACGACAGCGCTCTGGAATTGGTTAATTATACTCTCAGAAATCAATGAATGCTGGCTAAGATGACTTGCTTAGATCTTTGTCTGGGTTTTTAATTTTGCGAAAAGAAATGAAAAAGTTACTCTCCAACAGGAGTATTTCCCTAGCTTCTGGTTTTACATATCTGTTATTAAGAGGAGAACAGCTAAAATCGGCCCTATTTTTACAGTTCATGGCAACTGGAGCCCGTGGAGTAGTTGGGGAACTTGTAGCCGAACGTGCAACGGAGGCCAGGTGAGGCGATACCGGACGTGTGACAATCCTCACCCTGCCAGCGGTGGAAGGGCATGTGCAGGAGCTGACATGCAGATCCAGAGATGCGGCACAGAACTGTGCCCTGGTGAGTGATCAGATTAGCAGAGACATTAAATACAGCTTTCCCTGGGAGACTTCATAACATACATGAGATTCTCGTATCATGAAAGGAATGTAGAACATTTCTGTAATTACCTACTATTTCATACAACCTAATAATACACACTTACTTTTGTCTTTAAATGACTCATCTTACAAGGATTTTCCCCTTTGTATGTTAGATTTTTCCAAAATCAGGTGCAGTAATTCAAAACAGGAAACAGCACATGAAAATCTCTCCTACACCTCGTAATTCTACTTAAATTTTTAGCATATATACAGTTATCATGTATTCCAGGAACAGGGAACAATGCTCAGCTCAAATGCTTTTAATAAAACAATCAAAGCACTTAATTGATTTACTGGCAATGCATAACTAAGGGGCAGTCTGTGAACTTACACATTCAGGATCAGTATCAGCAATACAGAAGATAAACCACAACACTAGAGACTTACTAAACACCCACAAATTTCTAAACAGTCCTCTATAACTCATCCCCAGAAAGGGGATGAGTTTTTATAACTCATCCCAGAAAGGAATGAGTTATTATATTACTATTATATTACTATTAATAATGACATAATTAAAAAAAAAATTATTATTATACCTCTTCTCTATGCACACCCTTTTGCACACCCTCCTCCCGTGTGAGTGTTTGGATGGATAGAACATGTGTTCTTTATTTGCAATATTTACATTTTGTGTTTGTTTTTTTCTGCTCTTCCATCAGTTGTATACCCAGGCAGTCTCAGGTATTTTCCTTGTAGGAGTAAAAGAGCTCCAGGCTCTAGAGAGAGGAGTTCTCTCTGGTGATAGCTACTAAAGCCTGAGAGGAGATTCTGAATACCGACAGCCGTCCTTTATGAACAGCTTTGCAATATGGGTTTGCATACGTGCAGCAGTGTTTTTCAGTTCAGCCATGAAGTGGTACCTCTTCTACATGACACAGGGAGGGATTTGACCCATCTCTGGTTAAATCCCCAGCACTTATACTGGAAATGTCCCCTGGAGCAGCCTCCTTGTTTTCAGTACAGCTGATGGACAAACAGAATTTTAAAGGTGGTGTGTTTCTAGGCGGAGAAGTCTTCACACCTTCCCCTTAAGGTGTTTTTGTGATCCTTTGAACCATTTCTTTTCTCTAGCACATTGGTTCCATCAAAAAGGAATGACACTAAAGCACTGCTGATACAGCCCAAAACACCTGAAATAAAAGTGACTTTCTTCATTTGTTGTTTCTTCAGTGGATGGGAACTGGGGGCAGTGGCAAACATGGAGCCAGTGCTCTGCTTCTTGTGGAGGAGGAGAGCAGACCCGGATACGCCTGTGCAGCAGTCCAGCCCCGTTAAATCGTGGGCGTCCCTGTCCTGGAGACTCCTCCCAGATATCCAGGTGTAACACCCAAGCATGTCCTGGTGAGTTAACTTACAGCCTGCACACAGGGACAATACGGTGAAATCCTGCGGCATGCCTGATTTGACTGGTCCTCTCCTGTGTCTTGGCCAGTTGACCGAGTAATTTAACTTTTGGGGGCTTAAACCTCTTATTTGCAAGCTGTGAGCTCTAATCTTGCAAATAGTGTGGCAATATATGCAGAAGTATTACTTCTTAAAATGCTAGACGGTATTTCTGAATTTTTCTCTCCCCCAAAGTATTGGAGGGCAGAGTTTTCACATGGGCCTTTGTTGTTTTGGTTTTTTTAACTCCTCCCTCCCTGTCCCTGCACAGGTGGGCCTTCACATGCCAAAGGCAGCATCATTGGAAATATTAACAATATTGAATTTGGGATTGCTTTCCTGAATGCCACAGTCACAGACAGCCCTGACTCTGAAAGTAGAATAATACAAGCCAAGATTACGAACGTACCTCGGAGCATTGGTAGGCTTTTTATTACTTTTAATCACCTTTTTTTCTGAATGAGGATGAATTCTTTGCAGTGTCACTTTTAACCACTTCAGTAGATTGGTTTCTTCAGTGAGACTTAAACTTCTTATAGACAGAGAGAGGGAAAGGGATCCTTCAATACTTACTTCTGTTACCTTAGTATTTGTAAAACAATTCCTCTGAATATACTAATACATACTTTTTTCTGGTTTAAATGTTGGGGTTACACTAATTTTGGGTCTTCCTACTCAACTCTTATGTGGGTCACATGATGTGGGACTGTGAGCTTAAAGGTCCTTTCTAACCAAAATGATCTTATGATTTCATGTTACAAAAAAGCTCCCAAATGTTATGTTGCGTTTTTTCCAGGTCCAGCGATGAGAAAGCTTGTTTCTATACTCAGCCCAGTTTATTGGACAACTGCAAAAGAAATTGGAGAAGCAATGAACGGGTTTACGCTCACTGATGCCATCTTCAAGAGAGAAACTCAAGTGGAGTTTGCGACTGGTTAGTTAGCTGGGCTGTACTGTCTTTCTGTTTCCAATAAGCTTGACAGACAACTGCATTTCTTAAAAAATATCACTTAACTGCTGCTGAATTTTGAGTCTTGTGCTTACGCCAATATTTTCTGAACGACTATGGCTTTCTGAGGCTTAAATACAGCTTCTAGAGGTGTAATATGAAACATACAATGTTTTTTATTATGGGCATGGTACGCCTTATAAAAATATGAGTATAAAATAACTGATCAAGAGATCCAAGTTCAGATATTTTATGGGTGATGTTTTATAAATCGACTTGCTCTTAAAACTCCTAGGTGAGATTCTGCGAATGACTCACATTGCCCGGGGCCTGGATTCTGACGGAGCCTTGCTGCTGGATGTCGTCGTGAGCGGTCACGTGCTGCAGCTCCAGTCTGTAGCTGATGTCAATGTGAAGGTAAAGCCGCTTGAGATACCAGCCCCTTCTCTCACAGATACAGCCGCCTTCTCTCATCCATATTAAAGCAGAGTTGGCAGGCACAAAGCCCTGCAAACCTTTTACTGTATGTAACTTATTTTGTGCCTGGTTTAACTGACAGATATTAAGACCGCTTTGAAAACAAAAAGTCGTCAGGAAGGTAGTGTTGGCCACTCCAGATTTGTAGATGTTAGAAAGTAGCATTGAGATGTGCTGTCAGGGCAAGCTATCACAGGCAGCTCTTGCTTCCAATAGAACCAAAAGACTAATTAAGACTAAAGTCTTTTAAAATCTATAAAAGATCTTAAACTTGTCTGACTTCGTGGCTTCCTGTAGCATGATGCTAGCTCTTCTATACCATGGCAAAATTTCTGAATTCTCTCTGAACTTTTTCAGGAATGATTAGAGAGGGCAGTTTGCATGATCATGTGGCAAAAGGTTATCATCTTGCCACTGAATTGCTCTGTCTGGGATTTCTAGGAGACAGTCTCTGCTGCTCCTAGTAAGGTAGCCTTGTAGTACAGGCTGACCCTGTACTCTTGACACATAATGAGTCCAAAGGAATCATTTTTCTTTCTTTTTGGTTTAGTGTAAGACAGGCAAAACATTTTGCTTAAATCAATATGTGGTATTAGCATTTTGGTTTAAAACCAGGTGCTGGATATTTGGTTTTAAAGTAAAAGAAAGAACATTCTTCAAAGTTGTTTCTACAAAGGTGGTAATTAGTCATAGTTAACCACTGGAAATGTTTTTGTATATTAATCCCATGGTAAAATAAATATACATGAACTTCTTGATATTTTGATACTCTGAAATGTGTAGCATGTCCAATATATATACTTTTTTTTCAGCAGAAGACTTTCTCTACTCATTATTTAGTACACGTCTATATCTGACTTAGAATACAAAAAGAAAAAAAAAATTAGACCTCAAAAGTTTGTTACTGAATAGTAAGATAATTTTCAGGGTTTTTTTGGAAATGTGGTGGGCACAGTCATCAGGACAGCACCACAGCCTGTTTATATTTTAAAAGAAATATACCAGATGTTGTTAACATTCAACAGGTAAAATAAGAGTCAAAAAAGCATGTGTTGTGTGAAAAATGATTTGTTCAGCTGTTACGAAAAACCCCACCTTTCTCAGAATACATTTCATACCACTTTAAAATCTGCTGGCTCTACTGAGCAGGCGACACCTGAATCTCACTGTTTCAGGATTACACGGAAGACTACATCCAGACAGGCCCCGGGCAGCTGTACGCCCATTCCACTCGTCTCTTCACCGCAGATGGAGTGAGCGTCCCCTACACATGGAACCACACCATCACCTATGACCACACTAAAGGGAAGATGCCTTTCTTGGTGGAAACCCTCCATGCTTCCTCTGTTGTGACGGAGTACAACCCGCTGGAAGAAACCGTGGCTTTTAAAATCCAGGCGTCCATTGCAAAAGGTATTGTTCTCATCCTTCCCAAAGAAAAACAGAAGCAAAAAAAAATCACTGAAAAGTCTTCCTGGAATTCGTTTCCTGTATTCTCAACAGCTGGTTACGGCCCTGAGAGATGAAATACCGTGCAGCTTGGGTAACTTTACTGTAGATTCTGGGACCTACATGTCTTCCTAATATACCCATGGACTAGTATTAAAAGCTGCTGCAGTTTGCACTTACTCTTCATGTGTAGTTCTCGTCGGTGATGTACGTCTGCATTTGCTGACACTGCTGACAGCATCACCAGTGCCTTCAGATGGTCAACCTAAAATATTTCTCCAGTTCCTCATGTGTATCTTTCATTCTCTAAAATGAAATTGCCATCACTTTTGGGTGGGATCCAGTGTTGGTGAGGGTTTATGTCTAGGTTTGGTTTTGCATAGCTATTAAGAGAAAGGATTGTTTATTTTCTTCTCACAGCAAAAACCACATAAATGTAAGTAAGGTAGTAGTGGGGTGGAAGCACATTCAAAAGTCAGCACTACAATGGTTAGCAGAATGGCCTGTCAACTTCTAATAGTGCTTGGCTTTTTTGTATCCAGCAAGTCTTAACATCATGTTTCAAATGAAATAACTCAGGCTTGAAAGTGAATGAAACAGTGGGATTTCCCACTTCCATCCTTCTTTTCAATAACAACAGTCTATATGAAGTGTAAACCGATTATTTTTCTGCTTACCAGATAATGAACTCATGGTGCAATTTGAAAAACAAATAAAGTTGCGTTTTTTCCATTTTAAAAAAAGGTCTGATGAAAGGAAGTCTCCAGATGAAGTTATGTCTGTGCATAAATCTGGCCAAGCCTTTTTGGAATTTGCATTTATTTCCTCCAACAATCAGTATATTGCTTTAAAAAAAAATTCATCTATATTATCAATTTTCCATCAGCAAAACACATGTGGTCTCTCAGCAGTCTCTACCAGAGTTTTCCATTACAGTCATAGTACGCACTTGTGTTCTTCCATGGTGACTTCCCACAATTTATGACATGGTGATTTGTTTGGTTTGGGATTATTTCCTTCCTTTTACCTGAAGTGAAACTGAATGGTCTTTATTCTTTTAATAACAAAAACTTTATGGAGGAACTTCAAAGGATGTATTAGGCTGGGATGAAACTGGCAATGACTTTGAGGGGAACCCCCCCACCTGCTTAAAGTTTTTCAAACCAGCAAAACCCAAGTACTGCTGACTTTTAGTGCCCAGTAGAAAAAATACTTAAGTCTGGATTTTCAAAGTTTTTATTTTAGTGTCCAAGTATAATAAATCTTTTCTAAATAGCTGGGCTGCAATTCTTAAAGAGTTTTTTTAAAAAGCAATAAAATGAGCTTATTTTCATTCACAAGTAACACGTGCTTCTTTTACCATACCAGGGGATCGTAGCAACCAGTGCCCTGCTGGGTTTGGTTTGGACTGGACGGGGCCTTACTGTTCAGGTACTGATGTGACGAGGGTGGTGTGGAATCACAGACTCACAGCAGTTTGGGTTGGAGGGGACCTTTAAAGATCATCTAGTTCCCACTCTGTGTCATGGGCAGGGGCACCTCCCACTAGACAAGGTTGCGCAAAGCACCATCCAACCTGGCCCATGCACAACTTCTCTGGACACCCTAGGGTGTCAAAGCATGCAATGTGTTCTCCAAAAAGTGTAAGTAAGTTAAGTTACCATTGATAAAAGATCATTCATCTGATATAATTTTGTGGGCTTACTTTATCGCCCCTCAAAAGCTCATAAATTAAGGAATATATTCAAGAAACAAGATTTAGTTTTGCCCTGTGGGCTCTACCAGACATCAAACCATCTGGTTTGATGGAGTTACCTGTCACATCTTTCAAAGTCTCACTGGTTTTTCAAATGTTTCCTTGTTCCAGATGAAGATGAGTGCACTGTGCGGAATCCTTGTTCCCACACCTGTCATAACACCATGGGATCTTACTACTGCTCTTGTCCGCAAGGCCTCACCATCTCTGCGGGTGGAAGAACATGTCAGGGTAAGAGAAGTGTTGCTGCAGACAGGCCGGATACAAGAAGCCCCATGGCACTTAAATCAACACTTAAAACAGGGAAATGTTCTGTTTGGGCTGGGCCATTTTCTCGAATATAATTTGTTGGTGGTATTCGAATTATTTCGTACCTGAATGTACTTGCAGTCAAGTATTTCACAGCAGATCATGTTCAAGATGCTGCTTAACGTGTGCTTCATTTTGACACAGTGAGGGTTACAGCTTGCTTTTCATGGCAGATATCGACGAGTGTGCATTAGGTGGGCACAGCTGCCACGCTGGTCAGGACTGCGAGAACACCATCGGCTCGTACCGCTGCGTGGTTCGCTGTGGGAATGGCTTCAGGAGGACAGCTGATGGATTTAGCTGCCAAGGTAGGGAGAGGACTTTGGGGTTTGGTGTTAGCTTTCGTAAAGTGAAAAATGCTCCATTTCACACAATTGAAAGTAACTTTTTGAAAAGCTGCATTTCCAAATACCTTGTCTATGAATTTTCATTATTAAGGTTGTGGGGGTTTGGACTTGGGGGGTTTTGTAGGTTGGTTTTTTTTGGGCTATTTTGTTTTGGGTTGCTTGAGGTTTTTTAAGTCTTCTGCTTTTTTCATCTTTAGAAATCAACTTAAAATCCTATTAGGGAATAACTTAACATTCTTGCTTTTTGTGTCCCACGTGCATTTTCCTTTACAAAGAGGCGAGAGGATTAAATGCTTCTCCAGTAGTGTAATGACCACAGGCCAAAGCAGAGTCCAGAATGTGGACTCAACCAAAACATTGCTCAGGTAAAGGACCCCAAGGCAGGTCACAGCTTATGCTATCAAGGATTTGTGTCTTTTAACAGATGTTAATGAGTGTCAGGAGTCCAACCCCTGTCACCAGCGTTGCTTCAACACTTTAGGAAGCTTCCACTGTGGTTGTGATCCAGGATACCAGCTAAAGGGCAGAAAATGCATCGGTATGAATGGATTTTTCAGTGTTCATTCCCTTTCCTGTGGGCATAGGTCAACACTTACTTGTTGCTACGTTTGTTACCAGAAATCTTTATGAATGAAAATCCCACACAGATGAGAGAGTTGTTACATATTTTTGAATTTGTACTGAAAGGCAGAGGAAGCGGGAATTGGGCTGACTGATAAATGTGCATGAGATGCATTCACATGCATGTACATGGTATAATTACAGCTGAATTATTCTGCTCTTTAGGAACTGAACATAAGGAAGTGAGTTTATTTCCATTCTTTGGTTTTTGTGTTTGTTGGTTTTTTTTAATAAGATGTAAATGAGTGCAGGCAGAACGTATGCAGGCCTGATCAACTTTGCAAAAACACCCGTGGTGGTTATAAGTGCATCGATCTGTGTCCCAATGGAATGACCAAAGCTGAAAATGGAACATGCATTGGTGAGTAGAAGTGTTTATGGACTGTATGATGATGGTAAGCACAGGGACAACAATTAAATTAGTTTTTTAAAAAAATTAATCTTGGAAGTAGGACATCACCAGTTAAGAATTGCACATGCTAAGGCATCACCTTTTTTCCTTTTTGGGAACTTATGTATTTAACTTTTTGTAATTGGTATTAAAAAAGCAGATCTATCCTTGCCACTTGGTTCTCCATTGCTGTTAAGAAGGAATATTAAGGTTTTCCTCAGCATCTTTTCTTTTTCTGCATTGTCACCCTGAATTCTACAAATTGTTTGTTCACTGAAATGTTTTGCCCCATGTGTGAATGCTTTAAGGGTTTGTCGCAGGAGTTCCAGATCAACATCACAGGCCCTTGCTGCTCATCAGGCATGCTTTAAAACGTAACTGATACAACGTATACTACGCAATCTTCTTTTCTAGTGGGATATGGCAGGAAGCTGGATCACGTCTTTTTGGACAGCAGCTGAAACACATTAGAAACCTCAGTTACAAGTTTTGACAATTAACAGAAAAAGCATGTATAAATGCAATACAGTTGAAATATTTATCTGTGTATCTGCTCAAAATCTGCTTTCAGATTATGAAACACAGACTGTGATTTGTAACACAAACTGTTTTAGAGCAGTGCCTAATCCTGGCACCAGGTAAGAAAAGTTTATGTTCAGAGGCCACATCTACTTAGAGATCCAAATTCATTTGTGGCCTAAGTCCAATCCGTCAAGATTAACAAGTTGAAAGCTGTAAGAAATTGTGATTAAAAAAAAATCTAACTACTTTCCCTTGCCTTGTTCTCTGCAGATGTTGATGAATGCCAGGATGGAACCCACCAGTGCCGCTATAACCAGATTTGTGAGAACACACGAGGAAGTTACCGCTGTGTGTGTCCACGAGGATATCGGTCCCAGGGAGTTGGAAGACCTTGTGTGGGTAAGCTGTCGTGCTGCATTAGTACCATGTTTTCTGCTGCTGATTTAGGCTGGGCTTTTTGCCGTAATGTATCCAGCAATGCTATCCAATTTGAAGACTATGCTATATAGACAGATTTGTTTTAGATGGGTAATTTTGAACTTTGGCACAAAGTCTCCCATTCAAAACAGTCAAAACTAAACAATTCCAAACAGAGATTGTTATAGGTCCATACTCTGAAAAGAGAGCATATGGAGTCTCAGAGCACTGGTGGATGGAGGTGGCAAGCAGCCACTCCGTAAGTGGATTCATTTCTAAAAATCGGGTCAGATTTGTTGATTGACCGGCCAGTGCAACGTGCCTGGCTGTACCCTGCAACGCGCTGATTCACACCTGAAAGCAGTCAAACAGGGAGTGACGTGGATTCCCCTAAAAGAGAACACCCAAAGGGAAGGGCACGGTACGGCCAGCACTTGCCTCTGCGAGCGAGTGGCGGGGGGGGAGAGCTGCGCCGAGTGTCCCCCAACAGGCAGGGTGGGTAGGTACAGGGCGCTCCACGCTGCCCGGTCTGGGTTGGGTGGATCACAGCAGGGCAGGAGGATTCCTGTTGATTCCTGGAATGCTGACCTTGTCGTTACTCCCCTCTGCTATCGACGTAGAACATTTTGGCGTGAAAACACGCAGAGCTTTCTCCTACGCACACACACGGAGCATTTGAAGGCTCTCTCACTATCCACATTAGACTTTAATGTATGATGTTACTGCAAGTGCATAAAGCACTTCCCTTGCATTTAGCAAACCTGAGGATGACACTAGGATTGTTTAGATTCACCCTTTTCACATTTATGTAGAATATAATGGCTGATCCACCCTGATAATAATGATTTATTTATGTTTGCCTATAGCGCTAAGTGAAGGTGGGTTCAGTCGCTCTCGTATTATATCAGAGAGGCATTCCTCCACGAGGACTTCTTCAAGATTAGCTGTCAGAAGTGATAAACAGCTGGCTTTGGAGAAGAGGATTATGGTTTTTTTTATTTTTAAACAACCTAAGGTTTTGGCCTACAAAAAGCCAGGAAGGAATGTGTTGGGGTTTTTAAAAGAGATTAAATTGCAGCAAGAAACTGTTTGGCTGTAGACCAAGACATTACTTCCACCAGCTGCCTCTCAACTGAAATAAAATCAATCTCAGACTCCTTAACATATATTAAAACCATTTAAATTTCTAGCAGTAATAAGCTGGATAAAGTCTAGGACTGCAGATTTTCACAAAGCACTAGCAGCTGCCCTAAAGCTGTCTTCTGGCCAAGGACCACCGAAAGCTTCCTCTTAAATTAGCATGACCTATATGCACCTTCGAATTTTTATCTGCTTAAAATCAGACTTAAAATGTAGATGCATCAAAGATATTAGTTCACACATGCTAATAAAATACAGTTTTTCTTGTTAATACAGTTTTTCTTGTTTTCTTTGTCCTCCAGAGAGGACAGGGAGGAGTTGAAAAGTAAGGCCCCAGAGTGGAAAAGAACTGAACTTTATTCGTACCTGTGCCGCTGTTAGCCTGAGTGAAGTCCTCTGTGCCAGTTCCCTGTTAGGTGGGGACGAGCTGCTCATTTGCCATCACAACACCCATAGATATACGCACGCCCACTGAAGTAAATTGCAGGATTTCTGTGAACTGCGTGGGATCTCAGCAGTCTGTGTCAGATGGGAGGGCATTACAAAAAAGCTGTTACAAAGCATTTTTGCATGTAACACACACATGACTACCTAGAATTTAAAATTAAATATCATTCTTCAAGCTGAAGATGCACAAGAATATACCTATTTTAGTTTCAAAGTCATTCCACCCTGTTCTTGTAAATACTTAATATTCACAGTGCACAATTCACAATCAAATGGACATAGTCCAGTGGAGACTCAGGCTTACCCATGAGGCAGTGATGGCCAAGGGTGTAAATCCAAGTGACTTCCTGCCTTCCTTTTTCCTTGTATTGCACAGGATGATTCTACCAAACTAACTGCCTGAGTTTTCACCGTTTTCTTTAATTATTTGTACGACAGTCTTATATTGCTTATTTACAACTTGTTCCAAGGACACTGGTTGTTTTAAAGGTGTTAGTGCACATACCTGTTGGCTTTTTTATGCAGATACAGAATGTTAAACTCAGCAATTGGAAAACAGTTGAGCCTTAAGGAAATAAGGAGTTTCAGTATTCTTTTACATGTATATGACTAGCGTGTTTTTTCATCTTATGCACACAATGAAGCAATATGAACTTGATACTTGTATTAGTTGTTGCCATATTAAAAATTAAGTAGTGGGCAGCCCAGGCTGAACTAATGAATGAAATGGCTCCACAGGGAGCACATGTTTTCAGATAACCAGCAGGAACAGCTGGGGCTCGGGCTATCACACACAGCCCTGCTGCTGCCAAAGCCAGGCAGCAGACGTGGATCCCCATTTTATAGCCACACCTCACCGTCAGTAACGCCCGAGGCAAGACCTTTGGCAGAGTTCTTGTCCTGCATGAGCACAGCCTTCTGTCACACACAGCCTTGCAGGAAGAATAAAGGTGTATTTCTGTACAGGACAGAATAATCTGCCTACTTGGCCTTGTGTTCTACAGGTTTTATTGCCTTCAAGATCTCGCTTTTATGTCTTTGGTTTGTTCCACAGACTAAGTATATATGTCCATACATACGTACGTATAGTTACGTGTTGTTGTTTGTTTGTTTTTTTCTCCTTTCCACATGGTTTGTTGCTCTGGATCATGTCACATGAGCAGACATTAATGAATGTGAACAAGTGCCTAAACCCTGTGCATTTCAATGCACCAACACCCCCGGCAGCTTCACGTGTATCTGTCCACCTGGACAATACTTATTAGGTGATGGGAAATCTTGCGCTGGATTGGAGAGATTGCCAAATTATGGCGCCTATTACAGTAGCTATAACTATGCTCAATTCTCCCCTGTGAGAGACAACTATCAACAGCAACAGTATTACAGGCACTCCTCAAATCTCTACAGCTCCTTCTCAGAGTATAGAAACAGCAGAATACCTTTCTCCAGGACTAGAAGGAACATTAGAGAAACTTGTCCTGAAGGCTATGAGGCAAGAAATGACAGATGTGTAGGTAAATGTCAGTCATATCTATACAATTCTCTTGTTTTGGTCCTTATTCTTAGGCTACTGTTTCATATGTGCCAGGGGCTGATGGTTTGTGGTGCTGAGTTGTGGGGGGTTTTTTTCATATTACCCCGATAATATTCAGAGTTCTGCATGTTCTTGTCTCCTGAGCATGTTGTAGCAAAAATGTTTTCAGACTTCCTCCTTGTAACCTCTTGTTTTAATTGTGCTCCTCAGTGTGTGTTTGCAAGTGATTTTCCTCTGTTACTCTTTCTTCTGACTGTAGTAGCTCACCTTTGTGAAGTTTTCTCTCACTTCAGCAGTAGAGCCAGTCTGGTCCTGGGGATGTCGCTAATGTCAGACTCCCACGGATGGCAGTAATAACCCTGCGGAAAAAGGTTTGGAATGAAGATTTTTAGAACTGAGCACACTAGGGCTGGTGCCAGCACTGCTCCAGGACTGTTAGTTGCTGCCATATGGGCAATATAAGCAGAAGCTTTTAAATTACTTGTAAATTATCTTTTAAATTAAAAAGTAGTCATGATATAGAGCGAGTTGTAATGTAATTCACTGCTTGTAAGTAAGCAAACAGGGGTTTTGTCATATGTTGTGACAATGACTGCACTGCTGCTTTTTTTTCTGTGATGAGGAGAGCCATGTAGTTACGGGAACCGGCAAACTCTGCCCTCATTTTTCTTTTATTTTTCTAAGAGGTGTAAAGTCAAACATGCTTGAAGACCAACAGGGAACAAAGGTGTTTGGCACCTCTAACCATCAAGCATTTAGCTTGACTAGATTCTAGGAACCAGAATTATTGCTACAACTATCTAGCAATATATAATGTTTAAAAATATGAATATAATTTTATTAATAAAAATTATACAAGTGGGACATTTTATTTACATTATAAAGATACTTTGGTAGTCACAGTTTGTTATGGATAGAGCAGTTCAATTGAAATACAGTTACTGCTGATCAAAGAGTTAAGCTAAAATATAGAATCTTCACCTCGGCTTGAATTAGTTAATATTCTTGTACTTCCCTTTCACTGGGAAGTATTTAAAAAAATACTAATATGAACCATACACCCAAATGATGATTCCCTTAAAGAAAATTCTTTCAACAGCCATCCGTCAGGATTTGGTAACAGCATACTCTAAGTTTTTGTCACATCTGCCTTTCTTCTGTGTTTGCATTCTTATCTAATGCAACCCCTGTAAACCAGGTGAAGAGAAGGGAAACAAAGGCTGGTTTAATCGTGCAAATCTTGCATAAGGCTAACATGAGCAGGGCCTCTAGTGCTCTCCTGAATTAGGCAGATGTCTCAAAAGAAATTCTATGATCTGTGTCTCAGTCACACCAGTCTGCCTTGAAAATTTTACATAAAGTGAGCTGGTAGTTCTGTATTTGAGAGGGAGATTTAAAAAAAAAAAAAAAGTTAAAAGGAGCATTTTTCCATAGTGTTTCTGGATACTGAGCTTTCTTCACTCCCATGGCATGAAGAGGGGTGGTTGAAAAGGAAAATGGCTTTGCCTGAGGAGGCATTAACTGTAAGAACTACATCCCCACTCTCAAGGCTTCCTCAGGCAAGATAACTGATCTGGGTATTTCCTAAAATCTTGTTATGGTCCAGCAGCTCAGCTTGCTTTGGGGACGAGGCTGTGTTTGTATAATCTCACTGCCATGTGCAGGCTGCACGTGTCCCCCTGCTTTCTTCCCAGAACTGGTCTCTTCAGCTAGAATATGTATTAGCTATGGCTGCCATCAAAAGAGGTGATGATCCCCTCAAAGCTGACTTCACTATTAAAAAGTTATGAAGGTAAGGTGTGAAAGCACTTGCCAGTCTTACCCATTCAATCCCATGCGAGAACGAGATCCAGACAACTTCCGCCAACTCTGTCCATACTCTTATATATAAATAGGACAAAAAATAACCTCACTTCAATTCCAGGTTCAAATAATCCTGTTTCTTCTCCACAGATCTTGATGAATGTGAAACCAGAGATACCTGCCAGCACGAGTGCAGGAACACGCTGGGCAGTTACCAGTGTGCTTGTCCGACCGGCTATCGCCTTATGCCCAACGGCAAAACCTGTCAAGGTACAGAGATCTCTGAGTGTTCAGAAAGAGATTTGTAAATAAACAAGATACACATCGTATTTGGCACATGTATAAGCCACCTCTTTTTAATTTGCTTCATGAGGTTCAGTATTCAAAATTTCAAATTTTAGTAGTTTTTGTATTTCACATTTTAATGCTTCTTAAAACAACATCAAATTAGACAATTGCAGCTTATTATTCTCTCAAGTTTCCTCCTGTGACCTTACCTTACACATCTAACTCCAGGCCAGTAAACAGCAGGGTCAAATCCAACACAGTCCTTAGTCCACCTCTGTCAAAAAAGCCAGTAGTGTCAGATTTTCTGACACAAAAAAAATAAATTAAAAATTACCTAATTAGTCTCTATTGACAAGACAATGAATCATGGCTGTGGGGCAGCTCTTGCACAATGTGCCATCCTGCCAAACAATGCCAAACGCCAAACAATGATAAATGCACATTATTAGAACTAGGGACTCCAGCATCTCAAACTGGAGCAGGGCAGAAGCCTCAAAGATTTTGCCCTGTCCAGAGGGACGCTGCAGCCTGCTCAGCCTTTACTGGCCTGGCTAGTTTGTAACTCTTAAACTCACCTAAGAAACAGCAGCTGATTATTTACATGGTTTTTTACGTTCAGATATTGATGAGTGCCTGGAGCAGAACATTAACTGTGGATCAAATCAGATGTGTTTCAACATGAGAGGAAGCTACCAGTGCATAGACACACCCTGTCCACCAAATTACCAGCGGGAGCCTCTTTCTGGGTACGTTTTGTTTCTGTCCCCTTTATCACACACCCCAAGCTCGGATCCTTAATCCATGTTTGTCACCAGAAACTTTATCTAAGTTTGCCTGGCACCAGTACAGCAAAAGGTAAAGTGTTAACAAACACTCAGGATGATCATTGGTTTCTCGAGCGGTGACTTTCCATGTTTTGCCTGCAGCAGAACCAGAAAGCAGTGGGCACACGCAAGCTGGGCTGGCACTCACCTCTTACTGTTTTCCTATTTCATCTTCTCTGTGGGCTCATTCCTAGGTTCTGCCTCAAAAGCTGCCCGGCCAATGACCTGGAGTGTGACCTGAGTACCTACGCCCTGGAATACAAGCTCCTTTCCCTCCCCTTCGGCATAGCAGCCGGTCAGGATTTAATCCGCCTGGTCGCCTACACTCACGATCAAGTCGTGCACCCAAGGACGACTTTCCTAATGGCAGATGAGGACCCGGCCATCCCATTTGCCCTGAGAGATGAGAACTTGAAAGGAGTTGTGTTCACCACGCGAGCGCTGCGGGAGCCCAAGACGTACCGCATGGGAGTCAGAGCCTTATCCTACAGCATCAGTGGAAATATCGAGTATCAGACAACTTTCATTGTTTATATAGCCGTGTCGGCCTACCCCTATTAAACACCCAAACTACCCGACAGTAATCACAGTATTTTAACCATGTTTGTAAATGCCGGTGGGTATTCCCACTTCCAGACTGACTCTACTGCCTGCCAAACCGTCGTGACCCATGTCACTTCAGAGTGGTGCTATGCTCTTTTCTTTTTCCGTCCTTCCCCGAGGCTGCCCATTCAGTCCCATTGCTGCAATCTGAGAGGAAGATCCATGGCTCTGAGGACCTGTTACCACTTGCTTTATTTATTACACTGGAGTAGTCATGTTCCATGTTTTTTTCTGAAAACCAGCAGAAAGACTGGTATGAGCAGAAGTATGTGGGCAAAACAGTAAGCAAGGAGCAGCCTCGGTTGAAAGCAACTAAGAAAAAGCCTAACCAGAAGAAAAGAGAAAAAAAAAAGAAACCACCATAATGTCTACATATTTTAAAGGTTGCTAAGTGTTTTACATTTTTATATCTATTAGATTTTTTTTTCTCTTAACAAATACTTGATAGAATTAGGGCTGTAATATACTATGTCATGTGCTCAAAATAACCAAATACCACTGTACCTAATGGTTACAAAGGCTGAAAAGAAATTATATTAAAGTTTGGTTTCAGCTAAAGAATCTACAGTAGAATTTGGAACTGGTACATTTGATTTCCATGCAAGTTTAGGGATGTCACTGTTTTTTGGAAGAAAAAACAACATGGCTACTTCTACACTACACAGCAGGTATTTTATAACTACTACATCTTTTATACTCTCACGTTCTGGTATAGCCATTTATTTAGCACAAAACGGTATGCATTCCAGTACTCTCAACTTAGCTAAAAATGTTTGGGGTTTTCTTTGCAAATGGAACATTTTTCTCCAAAGATGATGTAAGTTTGGTTCAATAATGTCCATACACTGTACACAGGTAATTTTGCCAAGATGTATTCTATTTTTATGAAAATGTATATATGTTTTTTTTCCTTACGTGTATTTTCTATGCAGTATCTCGAGTGTTTTACAGTTAAGTCTACATAAAAGGACAATGTCAATACATTGAAAATAATCAAAATAAAGGTTCCCATTGTCTTTTAGATTTGCTGTGAGTTTTATCATTGAAAACAACCATTTTCTCATGGGTGAGGTACTTGCCTGTCATGCCAGTGGAAAATACAGAAGAAAGCGTGCCCCCCCCACTTCGGGCAGCAGCAGATGCAGCCAACTCTCCCCCCTTTTTGCTTTTTGTGCTTCCCCACAGCCTGCAGCTTTTTCCAGGTTAGGGAAAGTGGTGCACTTACCGTAAAGCCTCTTATTTTATCCAGAGCCTACTGCCTAGTAGACATCTCTCATTTCCTCAGAGGAAATGGGGTTTGCCAAGAGGTAACTTCTTGTTGTGTCTAAAGACAGTGTTTATTCATAAATAGACTCAGCTCATTGCTAAACATGAAATAAGTAAGTCATTAGAATTCCCATGTGCATAAGGGAAAAAAAAAAAAAAAAAACATTGAATGGCATTAAGGTTGGAGATTACCAGTGTGGAAATTACCCATGTTCATGGCGAAAAGTTTTGCCATTTTTCAGTCAAAGTGAGAAAAAAGATGTCAACAGAGCCTCTCCAGGTGCAGACTAAGGCTGAACTCCACCAGTTCCTGTGTTGCCTGACTGGGATGCAAGGAAACGAACAGGAATAACTCATTTCCCTAATACCCACCTGGCTTCAGTGATATTCCCCTTACCTGACACTCAGGGCTGGCAAAAGATTATCACCAGCACTGAAGTACATTTTTAGCCAGAGGCCCAAATTGTTCTTTGATAGAATTTTGACTCTCTAATTCGCTATTATTAACAATCTGTAGCGAAAGCCACCCCAGTTCTCCCCTAACCTTGTTTTTTTGTTCTATTTCTATTGCAACCAGTGAGATAGCCCTGAAATACAAGGATGATTTAACATTATAGGTCTCTCAATACCAATTTATACAAGTGACAGATTTCAAACACAACAGGTTTGTTTCTTGGAAGCCTGACTTGAAAAGTAAAAGCAGTGTAGGAAGAAAAAGAAGCTAACTTTTGTGACGAAGCCATGAGGGGAGGAGAAATGCAAGAAAGCTATAATAAGTATGGGTAGTTATCTCAGTTTTTTGAGGGATGAGAATCACATGAAAATTATGTCCTTACAGGACTTTAACTCCGCTATGGGACAGGAAGAAAAAGAAAATTTCTATTATGTTTCATGAGAAGGAAAAAAAACACAAAACCTCCCGACCAATAACAGAGTTAAAAGGCTGTAAGGCAAATCTATTATACTTCTTTTAAGGTTAGTAATTTACCAGACAGAAGTCCTTTGCACACCCCTGGACACATCCCCGCTGCGCTCTCACTCCCTGCCATTCTGGTGCTCAGCTCTAGCTCAGGAGGAGCCACTTGCCCCTATGGAAGCCGTTAGTAAATTATGCTGAGATGATGCCACAGGACTGAGGGACCTGCAAGGCCTGGGTTGTTGTGAGCTTTATGTTTTTCAGTCACTGACTGGTTGCAGGGAAGCTGTGAATAAAGGAGAACTGGTGCCATGCCCTTCCCTTCCCTGGGCATCTCGTTCTACGTTACAAATTCTCAATCAAACAAACTTGTTTGATTAAATCTCAGAGAAAATACACTTGTTGCAGTTCTGCCTCCACAAGCTACCTGACCCTACTGCCAACAGGTTGAAAAGTCTATTTTTTATTACAAAATGATTTTCTATTCTGAGAGGTAAGAGGCAGGTTAGTACCTGCAGGATTTTTAAAAGCTGAGTGATGTCCTATTGTCAACCCAGACACATCAGTGGGTTTCTTTATCTCATTCCCACCACCTGGTTGTACCTTGGGATAACCAGGGCAGGTCCAGGAAACAAACCTGGCTTTTCTAGATGAGCTCCATTTATGCTTGCATCAGTGCTGAGGGGGAACTGCTGGCTCTCTGCTGGCCTTATCTCAGTCGTTATGATGTATTTTAATTAAAGAGTGTATTTATTGCAATAGCCACTGAGCAGAGCAGGAACAAACACCTGCCTGAAACCACTACACAAGTCAAGAGAGTCAAGGATTTGTAGAGCATGGTAAAAGGCACCACGCAAAGAATCAGGAACCCTGTTAAATAAACTATAATGTGATCTCTTTCAAAAAAAGAAAGTCCATCTGTAAGTATCTGTCTGCTTGGTTGCAGATCAAACCCTCTTCCTTGCATGCTAACGCTACGGCATTAACAGAACGCAGAATCTAAAGTTCTTACCAAAAAAAAAAACACCCACATCATCACCGCAACTTTCACCACAGGTAATTAGTTCCCGCTGTTTGTCCCTGTCTGCAACATTATTAATGGTACCACTTAAATCTCAGAAACATGAGAAGACACAGGAGGTAACACAGCATTTCCTCCTGCAGCTGTTCCTGAAACATCACCCCACAACACTGGCTACACAGCCACTCCTGGGCCTTACCTGGGCTCGAACATGGCAACTTTTCATTAACTCCACTACCACGACTGAACGCACCCTATGAAAGGCGGCAAATGTGGTTTAAATATTACAGAGATCATTTATACATACAGTTAGTTTCAGTGTGACACTTTGCAGCATTCCAGCAGCATGCAGCTGGGCACATGAGTCTGCCTGAAGCTCATCTCCAAATGAAGGTGTTTTAGATATCAGGCACCAACTTCCCACAGCCCTGCCCAAGGCTACCCAGCCCACATGTGTATTCCAGGAAAACATCCTGCTACATCAGAGCCTTTGCCAGGGCACAAATGGACCCACTTTTCCTCCTGGAAACAGTCTTTGCTTATTAAAGCCTAAAGAAAACTATATCTTAGGATGCAGCACTATGCCAAAAAAAAAAAAAAAAAAAAAAAAAGTTGTGAAATCCTTATATTCCTTCCAAATGTAAGTTCTAGCAGAGGAATAAGGCACAAAAAGTTGTTCAGAGACAAAACTGGGGCCAGTTGCTAGTGAGGATAGCCAGTCTGCAACCAGCATCACTTGTTACATGGCAGGTGTTCAGGAACTGAAGATCAGTGCAGTTCCCCCCTCATACCTTCCTTCAAAATCCACTTTGCCTGTCCCTCGAGAGAGGAAATCCACCGGTGTCTTGTCTTCCTTTGTGCACTGGCTGAATTTAAAACCTGAACGTGTAGAGCAGTGAACAGAGGCAGAACACGTAGTACTGTGGGATAAAGGGAAAAGGAGTTATTGGGTGAGAACGATGCTCAGAGAAGACAAGAGCAGCACTGGCTTTACAGACACGTGTCTACTTGCCAAGTGAGATGCCGACAGCGGATACTAAACCAAGAGAAGGATAATGAGTAAAGCAGTCATCACCTCTCTCCCGTCAGCACAGCAGGACTCTGCTTTTGGGGCACAAGCGGGAACTCCGGTACCCTTTGACTTCAGAGGCATTTCTAGTTCTGGCAGCTCAAATATAAGGCTCCTGCCAATAAAAACTTGTCTTGTTAACGGCTTTTGAAATCCATGGATTAGCTTATGAGGCTGGAATCCAACCGCCTGCTCCCCGGTTACACATGGGCGGAGAACAGGACACACAGCACCGCGCGAGAAGGGACCAGCACGCAGGCCAAGAGATGCAAAGCGAGCCGTCTGGCACATTTCCGTTTCAGCTAATCCCTGGCGAGATGCTGCAATACAAAGACGGAGCTGGGCAAGGGCTGCAGGACAGGTCTCCCACTTCGTTTCTGAGCAAGCCCATGGGCAGATGAAGGCTCCTCCAGCCTTCTGGGCTTCAACCTCTGCCTCAGATGAGGAGTTTTTTGATTCAGCGCAAAACCTAAATGGATATCACCAGCAAAGACTCAGCGCCACACTGAGAAATCAAAGTCTGGAAGTTTAAAACACTTTCTATTCCAAAGTGAATGCTCAAGAGCCCAAACAGGTCAATGGCTTGCTTACATGTGGCTGTATTTCTTGCTGGGAAATCACAAATGGCTTCAACTCCTGCACAAAGAGCAATGCTCCACTCGTGGAGTTGTGACTCCACACAGGCC